TCTCGTTCAAAACACATTTCCTTTTTTAGATTTACTTCAAGCAGCGTTTTGTTTCTCCCATTGTTCTCCTCATGTACCATCAGCTCTGCTTTGTTTCAAGTACATGCAGTATATATGATGTATACTGTAGTACATGCAGTATATATGATGTATACTGTAGTACATGCAGTATATATGATGTATACTGTAGTACATGTAGTATATATGATGTATACTGTATATACTACATATACTACAGTATACATCAGGTACACCTGGGCAGGTTGCTGGTTCGATCCCCGCTCTAACCCACTGCAGTATTCACTCTCTACTGAGAAGAGCTGGTGTTAGAGATCATGGAGATATTAGAGATCATGGAGATATTAGAGATCATGGAGATATTAGAGATCATGGAGATATTAGAGATCATGGAGATATTAGAGATCATGGAGATATTAGAGATCATGGAGATATTAGAGATCATGGAGATATTAGAGATCATGGAGATATTAGAGATCATGGAGATATTAGAGATCATGGAGATATTAGAGATCATGGAGATATTAGAGATCATGGAGATATTAGAGATCATGGAGATATTAGAGATCATGGAGATATTAGAGATAATGCAGAGCTCAGAGACGCTGCTGCTAAACACACCAAAGACACCAGGAGGGATTCCCCCAGATGAGCCGGAGCGAGTCTGTGGAGGACCCCGTCTGGTCCCAGTCACGGACCTCACTCTGGATCTGGATTTTACATTCATTTGAAGTAGTATTTGTTATGGTTGGAATAACACGGACTTGTCCAGAGGTCTTGAGTCCAGGGTGCAGACTAGGACTGGTCTGGAGTCCAGGGTGCAGAGTGGGTACTAGTCTAGAGTCCAGGATGCAGACTAGTACTGGTCTGGAATCCAGGATGCAGAGTGGGTACTGGTCTGGAGTCCAGGGTGCAGACTGGGTACTGGTCTAGAGTCCAGGGTGCAGACTGGGTACTGGTCTAGAGTCCAGGATGCAGACTGGGTTCTAGAGTCCAGGATGCAGACTGGGTTCTGGTCCAGAGTACAAGGTGCAGACTGGGTACTGGTCTAGAGTCCAGGATGCAGACTGGGTTCTGGTCCAGAGTCCAAGGTGCAGACTAGTATTGGTCTAGAGTCCAGGGTCCAGACTGGGTGCTGGTCTAGAGTCCAGGGTGCAGAGTGGGCACTAGTCTAGAGTCCAGGATGCAGACTAGTACTGGTCTAGAGTCCAAGGTGCAGACTGGGTACTGGTCTAGAGTCCAGGGTGCAGACTGGGTACTGGTCTAGAGTCCAGGGTGCAGACTGGGTACTGGTCTAGAGTCCAGGATGCAGACTGGGTTCTAGAGTCCAGGATGCAGACTGGGTTCTGGTCCAGAGTACAAGGTGCAGACTGGGTACTGGTCTAGAGTCCAGGATGCAGACTGGGTTCTGGTCCAGAGTCCAAGGTGCAGACTGGGTACTGGTCTAGAGTCCAGGATGCAGACTGGGTATTGGTCCAGAGTCCAAGGTGCAGACTGGGTACTGGTCTAGAGTCCAGGGTGCAGAGTGGGTACTAGTCTAGAGTCCAGGATGCAGACTAGTACTGGTCTAGAGTCCAGGATGCAGACTGGGTTCTGGTCCAGAGTCCAGGATGCAGACTGGGTATTGGTCTAGAGTCCAGGGTGCAGAGTGGGTACTAGTGTAGAGTCCAGGATGCAGACTAGTATTGGTCCGGAGTCCAAGGTGCAGACTGGGTACTGGTCTAGAGTCCAGGATGCAGACTGGGTATTGGTCCAGAGTCCAAGGTGCAGACTGGGTACTGGTCTAGAGTCCAGGATGCAGACTGGGTATTGGTCCAGAGTCCAAGGTGCAGACTGGGTACTGGTCTAGAGTCCAGGGTGCAGACTGGGTACTGGTCTAGAGTCCAGGATGCAGACTGGGTACTGATCTAGAGTCCAGGATGCAGACTGGTTTCTGGTCCAGAGTCCAGGGAAAAAGAAAAGACCAACTCCAGGAGAATAATTGACTCGCTCTGAATGGCTCCATCTCACACAGACCAGACCAGACCAGACCAGACCAGTTCCCCCACCCCTCCCTGTGTACGCCGACCGCCATCTTTAAAACCAGTGGTCACATGATCTACATTCACCCCATGATCTCACCAGACACAATATAAAACCTTTTAGATTGAATAAAAATACTCCAAATGCATTGTTTTGGTCACATTACTATTCTAACAATGACTCTGACTGAGCTGGTTCCTCTTGTGGAGGCAGAATGTTCAGTATGTTCTGTGATCCAGGCCCGGTCTGCTGAACATGGGGGAGAACAGCACGCAGCCCTGGCTCGCCGACACATGGCCCAACTCCTGCTCCAACCACAACGACTGCAGCATCAACTGCTGCACGGCGGGAAGCGGCAACAGCGACAGCAACCTGGCAACCTACAGCCGTCCGGGTAGGTCCAATTCACACGCTAGAACAACCTGGCAACCTACAGCCGTCTGCGTAGGTCCAATTCACACGCTAGAACAACCTGGCAACCTACAGCCTTCTGCGTAGGTCCAATTCACACGCTAGAACAACCTGGCAACCTACAGCCGTCTGCGTAGGTCCAATTCACACGCTAGAACAACCTGGCAACCCTACAGCCGTCTGCGTAGGTCCAATTCACACGCTAGAACAACCTGGCAACCTACAGCCGTCTGCGTAGGTCCAATTCACACGCTAGAACAACCTGGCAACCCTACAGCCGTCTGCGTAGGTCCAATTCACACACTAGAACAACCTGGCAACCTACAGCCGTCCGGATAGGTCCAATGCACACGCTAGAACAACCTGGCAACCTACAGCCGTCCGGGTAGGTCCAATTCACACGCTAGAACAACCTGGCAACCTACAGCCGTCTGCGTAGGTCCAATTCACACGCTAGAACAACCTGGCAACCTACAGCCTTCTGCGTAGGTCCAATTCACACGCTAGAACAACCTGGCAACCTACAGCCGTCTGCGTAGGTCCAATTCACACGCTAGAACAACCTGGCAACCTACAGCCGTCCGGGTAGGTCCAATTCACACGCTAGAACAACCTGGCAACCTACAGCCGTCTGCGTAGGTCCAATTCACACGCTAGAACAACCTGGCAACCTACAGCCGCCTGCGTAGGTCCAATTCACACGCTAGAACAACCTGGCAACCCTACAGCAGTCCGGGTAGGTCCAATTCACACACTAGAACATCCTGGCAACCTACAGCCGTCCGGGTAGGTCCAATGCACACGCTAGAACAACCTGGCAACCTACAGCCGTCTGCGTAGGTCCAATTCACACGCTAGAACAACCTGGCAACCTACAGCCGTCTGCGTAGGTCCAATTCACACGCTAGAACAACCTGGCAACCTACAGCCGTCCGGGTAGGTCCAATTCACACGCTAGAACAACCTGGCAACCTACAGCCGTCTGCGTAGGTCCAATTCACACGCTAGAACAACCTGGCAACCTACAGCCGTCTGCGTAGGTCCAATTCACACGCTAGAACAACCTGGCAACCTACAGCCATCTGCGTAGGTCCAATTCACACGCTAGAACAACCTGGCAACCTACAGCCGTCCGGGTAGGTCCAATTCACACGCTAGAACAACCTGGCAACCTACAGCCGTCTGCGTAGGTCCAATTCACACGCTAGAACAACCTGGCAACCTACAGCCGTCTGCGTGGGTCCAATTCACACGCTAGAACAACCTGGCAACCCTACAGCAGTCCGGGTAGGTCCAATTCACACGCTAGAACAACCTGGCAACCTACAGCCGTCTGCGTAGGTCCAATTCACACGCTAGAACAACCTGGCAACCTACAGCCGTCTGCGTAGGTCCAATTCACACGCTAGAACAACCTGGCAACCCTACAGCCGTCCGGATAGGTCCAATGCACACGCTAGAACAACCTGGCAACCTACAGCCGTCCGGGTAGGTCCAATTCACACGCTAGAACAACCTGGCAACCTACAGCCGTCTGCGTAGCTCCAATTCACACGCTAGAACAACCTGGCAACCTACAGCCTTCTGCGTAGGTCCAATTCACACGCTAGAACAACCTGGCAACCTACAGCCGTCTGCGTAGGTCCAATTCACACGCTAGAACAACCTGGCAACCTACAGCCGTCCGGGTAGGTCCAATTCACACGCTAGAACAACCTGGCAACCTACAGCCGTCTGCGTAGGTCCAATTCACACGCTAGAACAACCTGGCAACCTACAGCCGTCTGCGTAGGTCCAATTCACACGCTAGAACAACCTGGCAACCTACAGCCTTCTGCGTAGGTCCAATTCACACGCTAGAACAACCTGGCAACCTACAGCCGTCTGCGTAGGTCCAATTCACACGCTAGAACAACCTGGCAACCTACAGCCGTCTGCGTAGGTCCAATTCACACGCTAGAACAACCTGGCAACCCTACAGCCGTCCGGGTAGGTCCAATTCACACACTAGAACAACCTGGCAACCTACAGCCGTCCGGGTAGGTCCAATGCACACGCTAGAACAACCTGGCAACCTACAGCCGTCTGCGTAGGTCCAATTCACACGCTAGAACAACCTGGCAACCTACAGCCGTCTGCGTAGGTCCAATTCACACGCTAGAACAACCTGGCAACCCTACAGCAGTCCGGGTAGGTCCAATTCACACACTAGAACAACCTGGCAACCTACAGCCGTCCGGGTAGGTCCAATGCACACGCTAGAACAACCTGGCAACCTACAGCCGTCTGCGTAGGTCCAATTCACACGCTAGAACAACCTGGCAACCTACAGCCGTCTGCGTAGGTCCAATTCACACGCTAGAACAACCTGGCAACCTACAGCCGTCCGGGTAGGTCCAATTCACACGCTAGAACAACCTGGCAACCTACAGCCGTCTGCGTAGGTCCAATTCACACGCTAGAACAACCTGGCAACCTACAGCCGTCTGCGTAGGTCCAATTCACACGCTAGAACAACCTGGCAACCTACAGCCGTCCGGGTAGGTCCAATTCACACGCTAGAACAACCTGGCAACCTACAGCCGTCCGGGTAGGTCCAATTCACACGCTAGAACAACCTGGCAACCTACAGCCGTCTGCGTAGGTCCAATTCACACGCTAGAACAACCTGGCAACCTACAGCAGTCCGGGTAGGTCCAATTCACAAACTAGAACAACCTGGCAACCTACAGCCGTCCGGGTAGGTCCAATGCACACGCTAGAACAACCTGGCAACCTACAGCCGTCTGCGTAGGTCCAATTCACACGCTAGAACAACCTGGCAACCTACAGCCGTCTGCGTAGGTCCAATTCACACGCTAGAACAACCTGGCAACCTACAGCCTTCTGCGTAGGTCCAATTCACACGCTAGAACAACCTGGCAACCTACAGCCGTCTGCGTAGGTCCAATTCACACGCTAGAACAACCTGGCAACCTACAGCCGTCCGGGTAGGTCCAATTCACACGCTAGAACAACCTGGCAACCTACAGCCGTCTGCGTAGGTCCAATTCACACGCTAGAACAACCTGGCAACCTACAGCCTTCTGCGTAGGTCCAATTCACACGCTAGAACAACCTGGCAACCTACAGCCGTCTGCGTAGGTCCAATTCACACGCTAGAACAACCTGGCAACCTACAGCCGTCTGCGTAGGTCCAATTCACACGCTAGAACAACCTGGCAACCCTACAGCCGTCCGGGTAGGTCCAATTCACACACTAGAACAACCTGGCAACCTACAGCCGTCCGGGTAGGTCCAATGCACACGCTAGAACAACCTGGCAACCTACAGCCGTCTGCGTAGGTCCAATTCACACGCTAGAACAACCTGGCAACCTACAGCCGTCTGCGTAGGTCCAATTCACACGCTAGAACAACCTGGCAACCCTACAGCAGTCCGGGTAGGTCCAATTCACACACTAGAACAACCTGGCAACCTACAGCCGTCCGGGTAGGTCCAATGCACACGCTAGAACAACCTGGCAACCTACAGCCGTCTGCGTAGGTCCAATTCACACGCTAGAACAACCTGGCAACCTACAGCCGTCTGCGTAGGTCCAATTCACACGCTAGAACAACCTGGCAACCTACAGCCGTCCGGGTAGGTCCAATTCACACGCTAGAACAACCTGGCAACCTACAGCCGTCTGCGTAGGTCCAATTCACACGCTAGAACAACCTGGCAACCTACAGCCGTCTGCGTAGGTCCAATTCACACGCTAGAACAACCTGGCAACCTACAGCCGTCCGGGTAGGTCCAATTCACACGCTAGAACAACCTGGCAACCTACAGCCGTCCGGGTAGGTCCAATTCACACGCTAGAACAACCTGGCAACCTACAGCCGTCTGCGTAGGTCCAATTCACACGCTAGAACAACCTGGCAACCTACAGCAGTCCGGGTAGGTCCAATTCACACACTAGAACAACCTGGCAACCTACAGCCGTCCGGGTAGGTCCAATGCACACGCTAGAACAACCTGGCAACCTACAGCCGTCTGCGTAGGTCCAATTCACACGCTAGAACAACCTGGCAACCTACAGCCGTCTGCGTAGGTCCAATTCACACGCTAGAACAACCTGGCAACCTACAGCCGTCCGGGTAGGTCCAATTCACACGCTAGAACAACCTGGCAACCTACAGCCGTCTGCGTAGGTCCAATTCACACGCTAGAACAACCTGGCAACCTACAGCCGTCTGCGTAGGTCCAATTCACACGCTAGAACAACCTGGCAACCTACAGCCGTCCGGGTAGGTCCAATTCACACGCTAGAACAACCTGGCAACCTACAGCCGTCCGGGTAGGTCCAATGCACACGCTAGAACAACCTGGCAACCTACAGCCGTCTGCGTAGGTCCAATTCACACGCTAGAACAACCTGGCAACCTACAGCAGTCCGGGTAGGTCCAATTCACACACTAGAACAACCTGGCAACCTACAGCCGTCCGGGTAGGTCCAATGCACACGCTAGAACAACCTGGCAACCTACAGCCGTCTGCGTAGGTCCAATTCACACGCTAGAACAACCTGGCAACCTACAGCCGTCTGCGTAGGTCCAATTCACACGCTAGAACAACCTGGCAACCTACAGCCGTCCGGGTAGGTCCAATTCACACGCTAGAACAACCTGGCAACCTACAGCCGTCTGCGTAGGTCCAATTCACACGCTAGAACAACCTGGCAACCTACAGCCGTCTGCGTAGGTCCAATTCACACGCTAGAACAACCTGGCAACCTACAGCCGTCTGCGTAGGTCCAATTCACACGCTAGAACAACCTGGCAACCTACAGCCGTCCGGGTAGGTCCAATTCACACGCTAGAACAACCTGGCAACCTACAGCCGTCCGGGTAGGTCCAATTCACACGCTAGAACAACCTGGCAACGTATCATGGTCCGAGTAGGTCTCAAACACACACACACCATACGGGACCATCCCAGGACCATCCGGGACCATCCCAGGACCATCCGGGACCATCCGGGACCATCCAGGACCAGCCTGACCGGCGCCTCGCTGTGTGGTGTTCTGGATCTAATCTCTAATGTCTATTTGCTGTGGTGTGAGTGTGTGCTCTCCGTAACATCTGTTTTTTTAGTTTTTTGACCTTAAAACATTAAAAACATTGACCTGAAAGTGTTTGTCGGATAAAGAAGATGTTGGGAATAAGGAAATCTTGGGAGCTGGACCATAACAGAGTTTAGTCAACAACAAATCTATAACCAACACCTTTTTCACAAAGATAGAAATCCTGCTTTTATTCCTTGTTTTGTCGTTAATGATTTGAGAATCATAACGAGACCTTTTTTAGTTCTGCGCCACATGGTACTTTACCAGTGAGATTAGCTCCACGCGGTGAGTTCTGGCGCCCGGATCAAAGACTTTCTGATTGGTGAAACGGTGGAGGGCGGGACATCGAAATGAAAACAATAAAAAGATTTAGGGACTGGAAAAGTAATTTAGAAATTCAAATATCTCTGAACTACTGTTATCAGTTAAAGAAGTATTGGAAAAGAGCAGATTATTATTATGACAGATTAGGGCCTTTAATGATGACAGATTAGGGCCCTTTAATGATGAACGATAAGGGCCCTTTAATGATGACAGATTAGGGCCCTTTAATGATGACAGATTAGGGCCCTTTAATGATGAACGATAAGGGCCCTTTAATGATGACAGCTTAGGGCCCTTTAATGATGACAGATTAGGGCCCTTTAATGACGACAGATTAGGGCCCTTTAATGATGAACGATTAGGGCCCTTTAATGATGACAGATTAGGGCCCTTTAATGATGACAGATTAGGGCCCTTTAATGATGACAGATTAGGGCCCTTTAATGATGAACGATTAGGGCCCTTTAATGATGACAGATTAGGGCCCTTTAATGATGACAGATTAGGGCCCTTTAATGATGACAGAATAGGGCCCTTTAATGATGACATGAGCCTGAACATCTGACCAATCAGGAGCCTTCCGTCGCTGGATTCGGCACTAGCTAGCGAACAGGGGGAGGTTGGATCGCTAACTCAGCTGCTGCAGACATTTGGCTCCACATTCTGCTGGAAAAGCCCGATCGTGGGAGTCTGGATCTAATGTACGGGCCATGGGGAGAAGCGGGAAACTGCACGTAGCTAGCATAAAGGCTAAAATAGCATTCAGGCTCAAATCTGACACATTTAGAAGAAACAGTTCTGTCAGACTTTAGACTTAGACTTTATTGATCCACAGGAAATAGCCTTGTCACAGTAACTTGCAAAGTATTCCACAATAAAAATAACATTAAATACATACGATAATGTTGTGAGAATAGAATAACAATATACATATCTGTGAAGATGAAACATGGAATCATTAAAACGTACGATTCTTTGCTTTTTAAAACACACTTTGTCATTTTCTGCCGGAGCTTCGTTTGTGGAGGTTATTTCTGTGATGTATGTGATGGAAATGCAACACTGACTCCGCCCCCTTCAAACACAGCAGCAGCAGAAGAAGAAGAGCAGGCGCTATGTGGGTTAGAGAGACCCCGACACCGGCTCCTCTGAGGGAGGGATGAGGGAGGCGATGAGGGAGGGATGAGGGAAGGATGAGGGAGGGATGAGGGAGAGATGAGGGAGGGATGAGGGAGGGATGAGGGAGGCTCTGAGGGAGGGATGAGGGAGAGATGAGGGAGAGATGAGGGAGGGATGAGGGAGAGATGAGGGATGGATGAGGGAGAGATGAGGGAGGGATGAGGGAAGGATGAGGGAGGGATGAGGGAGAGATGAGGGAGGGATGAGGGAGGGATGAGGGAGAGATGAGGGAGGGATGAGGTAGAGATGAGGGAGGGATGAGGGAGGGATGAGGGAGGCGATGAGGGAGGGATTAGGGAAGGATGAGGGAGGGATGAGGGAGAGATGAGGGAGAGATGAGGGAGGGATGAGGGAGGGATGAGGGAGGGATGAGGGAGGCTCTGAGGGAGGGATGAGGGAGGCTCTGAGGGAGGGATGAGGGAGGCTCTGAGGGAGGGATGAGGGAGGGATGAGGGAAGGATGAGGGAGAGATGAGGGAGGCGATGAGGGAGGGATGAGGGAGAGATGAGGGAGGGATGAGGGAGGCTCTGAGGGAGGGATGAGGGAGGGATGAGGGAGGCTCTGAGGGAGGGATGAGGGAGAGATGAGGGAGGGATGAGGGAGGCTCTGAGGGAGGGATGAGGGAAAGATGAGGGAGGGATGAGGGAGGCTCTGAGGGAGGGATGAGGGAGGCTCTGAGGGAGGGATGAGGGAGGGATGAGGGAAGGATGAGGGAGAGATGAGGGAGGCGATGAGGGAGGGATGAGGGAAGGATGAGGGAGGCTCTGAGGGAGGGATGAGGGAGGGATGAGGGAAGGATGAGGGAGAGATGAGGGAGGCTCTGAGGGAGGGATGAGGGAGGGATGAGGGAGAGATGAGGGAGGGATGAGGGAGGGATGAGGGAGGCTCTGAGGGAGGCTCTGAGGGAGGGATGAGGGAGGGATGAGGGAGGCGATGAGGGAGGGATGAGGGAGGGATGAGGGAGAGATGAGGGAGAGATGAGGGAGGGATGAGGGAGGGATGAGGGAGAGATGAGGGAGGGATTAGACAGCGATGAGGGAGGGATTAGGGAGCGATGAGGGAGGCGATGAGGGAGGCGATGAGGGAGGTGATAAGGCTCTGAGGGAGCGATGAGGGAGGGATTAGGGAGGGATGAGGGAGGCGGGGTAGCGATGAGCAGTGTTGTGCCAGTTCACAGCTTTTCTGAACTAGTTCAAGTTCAGTTCATACATGTTCAAAGTTCACATTTTACTTTTTTTGTGAAATAGTCAAATAAATACTTTTTTTCACACTAATAGCTATATATAATATATATATATGTATATAAATTACATTTTTTTGTGTATATATATATATATATATATATATATATATATATATATATATATATATATATATATATATATATATATATATATATATATATATATATATATATATATATATATATAATTATATATAGCTTGTATATGATATATATATATATATATATCTCCTGTACACCCACAGGAGGAGAGCCTTTTGACCACAAAACAGACCAGATTTACATGGTTTTCAATAGGAGCCAAACAGAGTGGTCCCATCTCTGCTCATAAACTACAGACAGTAATGTGCTGCAGTGCTGTGTCTATACTTTATGTCAAATGTAAACGGTGTAAACTTTGTCGCTAACTCACCCTGTGTTTTCATCACGACTCGGGCACATGTGAAAAGCACCAGCTCACAGCGCCGCACCACAGAGTCGGGGTGCGTTCACAGACGGTGGAAACCGTAGGAATTTTTAGATTTTCGCGGAAAAAGTGCGAGAATACAGGAGGGAGGAACTTTCTCTCGTTGCGTTTCAAAAGAGAAAACAGATTCCAACGTTCATAGTGATGTCTGCCGTTCATGACACATAAAATGAACTAATTCACGTTCAAGTTCTTTTTTTAAAATGTGTTGCGTTCAGTTCAACGTTCACCAAAAAATGAGCGTGTTCAATGAACGCGTTCTTTTGAACTGGTTCACGCACAACACTGGAGATGACGGCCTTTGTAGAAGCTCATTTACATAATGGAAGAAGCTGGTGTCACGCTCCTTCTCACGTTATTAATGCTTCATTCATAGAAACAGCAGAAACAGCAGAAACAGCAGGTACAGCAGGTACAGCAGAAACAGCAGGTACAGCAGAAACAGCAGGTACAGCAGAAACAGCAGAAACAGCAGGTACAGCAGGTACAGCAGAAACAGCAGGTACAGCAGAAACAGCAGGTACAGCAGAAACAGCAGAAACAGCAGGTACAGCAGGTACAGCAGAAACAGCAGGTACAGCAGAAACAGCAGGTACAGCAGAAACAGCAGAAACAGCAGGTACAGCAGGTACAGCAGAAACAGCAGGTACAGCAGAAACAGCAGGTACAGCAGAAACAGCAGAAACAGCAGGTACAGCAGGTACAGCAGAAACAGCAGGTACAGCAGAAACAGCAGGTACAGCAGAAACAGTAGAAACAGCAGGTACAGCAGGTACAGCAGAAACAGCAGGTACAGCAGAAACAGCAGGTACAGCAGAAACAGCAGAAACAGCAGAAACAGCAGAAACAGCAGAAACAGCAGGTACAGCAGGTACAGCAGAAACAGCAGGTACAGCAGGTACAGCAGGGACATGTCTCTGCGTTCACACCTGAAAGCACTGGGCCCATTATTAAACTGAAGTGGAGCTTGTCAGACCTTTGTCCAGAGACATGTGGCTTTGTCAGAGCAGAGAGGCAGGATTCATCTGCAGCATGTTTTATTCTGTTTTAATCTGTTTTATTATGTCTTAGGTTTTTGTGCTGAGATTGAGCTTTAAGGCCCAATACAACATTTACATGAATTTTCAAACCTGTCACAGAAGCATCAGGTCCAGTCTGAACCTCGAGACTTGTGTTGGAAGATGTTCATGTGAAGTCATCATTAAAGGGCCCTAATCTGTCATCATTAAAGGGCCCTAATCCGTCGTCATTAAAGGGCCCTAATCCGTCGTCATTAAAGGGCCCTAATCTGTCATCATTAAAGGGCCCTAATCCGTCATCATTAAAGGGCCCTAATCTGTCATCATTAAAGGGCCCTAATCTGTCATCATTAAAGGGCCCTAATCCGTCATCATTAAAGGGCCCTAATCTGTCATCATTAAAGGGCCCTAATCCGTCATCATTAAAGGGCCCTAATCTGTCATCATTAAAGGGCCCTAATCTGTCATAATTAAAGGGCCCTAATCCGTCATCATTAAAAGGCCCTAATCTGTCATCATTAAAGGGCCCTAATCCGTCATCATTAAAGGGCCCTAATCTGTCATCATTAAAGGGCCCTAATCCGTCATCATTAAAGGGCCCTAATCTGTCATCATTAAAGGGCCCTAATCTGTCATCATTAAAGGGCCCTAATCTGTCATCATTAAAGGGCCCTAATCTGTCATAATTAAAGGGCCCTAATCCGTCATCATTAAAAGGCCCTAATCTGTCATCATTAAAGGGCTCTAATCCGTCATCATTAAAGGGCCCTAATCTGTCATCATTAAAGGGCCCTAATCTGTCATCATTAAAGGGCCAAATCCGTCATCATTAAAGGGCCCTAATCCGTCATCATTAAAGGGGCCTAATCTGTCATCATTAAAGGGCCCTAATCTGTCATCATTAAAGGGCCCTAATCCGTCATCATTAAAGGGCCCTAATCTGTCATCATTAAAGGGCCAAATCCGTCATCATTAAAGGGCCCTAATCCGTCATCATTAAAGGGGCCTAATCTGTCATCATTAAAGGGCCCTAATCTGTCATCATTAAAGGGCCCTAATCCGTCATCATTAAAGGGCCCTAATCTGTCATAATAATACTTCTCTAACTGATAACAGTAGTTCAGAGATATTTGAATTTCTAAATTACTTTTCCAGCCTCTAAATCTTGTTATTGCTTTGATTTCGATGTCCCGCCCTCCACCGTTTCACCAATCAGAAAGTCTGTGATCCGGGCGCCAGAACTCACCGCGTGGAGCTAATCTCACTGGTAAAGTACCATGTGGCGCAGAACTAAAAAAGTTCTCGTTATGATTCTCAAATCATTAACGACAAAACAAGGAATAAAACCAGGATTTCTATCTTTGTGAAAAAGGTGTTGGTTATAGATTTGTTGTTGACAAAACTCTTGTCTATTCAGCTGTTATGGTCCCAGCTGGATTCGTCTGCATATCTGGCAACCTGAGTCAGGGAGAGTGGGAGAGGCTGCAGTACCGCTTTTGGCCACATTTGTACATACTGCTCCTTTAAGTCTGTTTGTAGTGTAAGGTTAGTGGTTTGGAAAAGGTGGACTGAACTTAGGAGATCTGCTGTTTTTGGGTCTTGCTCCTTGTGGATGGTTCAGTTGTCGTAGTCCATCGTGATGCCGTTCCCTTTGGTCCAGGCTCAGAATCTTGGAAGTTTGAGTTTTGTTGAGTCTGTATTTGGACGTGCTCCTGTCGACCTGTGTCCTGGTCCGTCCCGCTCCCTCTGGACCAATGCCAATGTTTTCTGTCCTCTGGTCGTCTTCATGTAAATGTTAATTATTGTCTTTCTGTGGATTATTTTTGCCAAAGCACTGAAGACAAAGACAAAAGCTGCAGAAGTCTGAGTTGTCGTCTCTAAAGAACAGAGAGAGTCCAGAGTCCAGTCCAGAGTCTAGGGTCCAGGACCGCCGCAGTAGCTCAGGTCCGGACTCTGACCAGGACCGCCGCAGTAGCTCAGGTCCGGACTCTGACCAGGACCGCCGCAGTAGCTCAGGTCCGGACTCTGACCAGGACCGCCGCAGTAGCTCAGGTCCGGACTGTGACCAGGACCGCCGCAGTAGCTCAGGTCCGGACTGTGACCAGGACCGCCGCAGTAGCTCAGGTCCGGACTGTGACCAGGACCGCCGCAGTAGCTCAGGTCCGGACTCTGACCAGGACCGCCGCAGTAGCTCAGGTCCGGACTCTGACCAGGACCGCCGCAGTAGCTCAGGTCCGGACTCTGACCAGGACCGCCGCAGTAGCTCAGGTCCGGACTCTGACCAGGACCGCCGCAGTAGCTCAGGTCCGGACTGTGACCAGGACCGCCGCAGTAGCTCAGGTCCGGACTGTGACCAGGACCGCCGCAGTAGCTCAGGTCCGGACTGTGACCAGGACCGCCGCAGTAGCTCAGGTCCGGACTCTGACCAGGACCGCCGCAGTAGCTCAGGTCCGGACTGTGACCAGGACCGCCGCAGTAGCTCAGGTCCGGACTGTGACCAGGACCGCCGAAGTAGCTCAGGTCCGGACTGTGACCAGGACCGCCGCAGTAGCTCAGGTCCGGACTGTGACCAGGACCGCCGCAGTAGCTCAGGTCCGGACTCTGACCAGGACCGCCGCAGTAGCTCAGGTCCGGACTCTGATCAGGACCGCCGCAGTAGCTCAGGTCCGGACTGTGACCAGGACCGCCGCAGTAGCTCAGGTCCGGACTGTGACCAGGACCGCCGCAGTAGCTCAGGTCCGGACTGTGACCAGGACCGCCGAAGTAGCTCAGGTCCGGACTGTGACCAGGACCGCCGCAGTAGCTCAGGTCCGGACTGTGACCAGGACCGCCGCAGTAGCTCAGGTCCGGACTGTGACCAGGACCGCCGCAGTAGCTCAGGTCCGGACTCTGACCAGGACCGCCGCAGTAGCTCAGGTCCGGACTCTGACCAGGACCGCCGCAGTAGCTCAGGTCCGGACTCTGATCAGGACCGCCGCAGTAGCTCAGGTCCGGACTGTGACCAGGACCGCTGCAGTAGCTCAGGTCCGGACTGTGACCAGGACCGCCGCAGTAGCTCAGGTCCGGACTGTGACCAGGACCGCCGAAGTAGCTCAGGTCCGGACTGTGACCAGGACCGCCGCAGTAGCTCAGGTCCGGACTCTGACCAGGACCGCCGCAGTAGCTCAGGTCCGGACTCTGATCAGGACCGCCGCAGTAGCTCAGGTCCGGACTGTGACCAGGACCACCGCAGTAGCTCAGGTCCGGACTGTGACCAGGACCGCCGCAGTAGCTCAGGTCCGGACTGTGACCAGGACCGCCGCAGTAGCTCAGGTCCGGACTGTGACCAGGACCGCCGCAGTAGCTCAGGTCCGGACTGTGACCAGGACCGCCGCAGTAGCTCAGTCCGGACTCTGACCAGGACCGCCGCAGTAGCTCAGGTCCGGACTCTGATCAGGACCGCCGCAGTAGCTCAGGTCCGGACTGTGACCAGGACCACCGCAGTAGCTCAGGTCCGGACTGTGACCAGGACCGCCGCAGTAGCTCAGGTCCGGACTGTGACCAGGACCGCCGCAGTAGCTCAGGTCCGGACTCTGACCAGGACCGCCGCAGTAGCTCAGGTCCGGACTCTGACCAGGACCGCCGCAGTAGCTCAGGTCCGGACTGTGACCAGGACCCGCAGTAGCTCAGGTCCGGACTGTGACCAGGACCGCCGCAGTAGCTCAGGTCCGGACTGTGACCAGGACCGCCGCAGTAGCTCAGGTCCGGACTCTGACCAGGACCGCCGCAGTAGCTCAGGTCCGGACTGTGACCAGGACCGCCGCAGTAGCTCAGGTCCGGACTGTGACCAGGACCGCCGAAGTAGCTCAGGTCCGGACTGTGACCAGGACCGCCGCAGTAGCTCAGGTCCGGACTGTGACCAGGACCGCCGCAGTAGCTCAGGTCCGGACTCTGACCAGGACCGCCGCAGTAGCTCAGGTCCGGACTCTGATCAGGACCGCCGCAGTAGCTCAGGTCCGGACTGTGACCAGGACCGCCGCAGTAGCTCAGGTCCGGACTGTGACCAGGACCGCCGCAGTAGCTCAGGTCCGGACTGTGACCAGGACCGCCGAAGTAGCTCAGGTCCGGACTGTGACCAGGACCGCCGCAGTAGCTCAGGTCCGGACTGTGACCAGGACCGCCGCAGTAGCTCAGGTCCGGACTCTGACCAGGACCGCCGCAGTAGCTCAGGTCCGGACTCTGACCAGGACCGCCGCAGTAGCTCAGGTCCGGACTCTGATCAGGACCGCCGCAGTAGCTCAGGTCCGGACTGTGACCAGGACCACGCAGTAGCTCAGGTCCGGACTGTGACCAGGACCGCCGCAGTAGCTCAGGTCCGGACTGTGACCAGGACCGCCGAGTAGCTCAGGTCCGGACTGTGACCAGGACCGCCGCAGTAGCTCAGGTCCGGACTGTGACCAGGACCGCCGCAGTAGCTCAGGTCCGGACTCTGACCAGGACCGCCGCAGTAGCTCAGGTCCGGACTCTGATCAGGACCGCCGCAGTAGCTCAGGTCCGGACTGTGACCAGGACCACCGCAGTAGCTCAGGTCCGGACTGTGACCAGGACCCCGCAGTAGCTCAGGTCCGGACTGTGACCAGGACCGCCGCAGTAGCTCAGGTCCGGACTGTGACCAGGACCGCCGCAGTAGCTCAGGTCCGGACTCTGACCAGGACCGCCGCAGTAGCTCAGGTCCGGACTCTGATCAGGACCGCCGCAGTAGCTCAGGTCCGGACTGTGACCAGGACCACTGCAGTAGCTCAGGTCCGGACTGTGACCAGGGACCGCTGCAGTAGCTCAGGTCCGGACTGTGACCAGGACCGCCGCAGTAGCTCAGGTCCGGACTGTGACCAGGACCGCCGAAGTAGCTCAGGTCCGGACTGTGACCAGGACCGCCGCAGTAGCTCAGGTCCGGACTGTGACCAGGACCGCCGCAGTAGCTCAGGTCCGGACTGTGACCAGGACCACTGCAGTAGCTCAGGTCCGGACTGTGACCAGGACCGCCGCAGTAGCTCAGGTCCGGACTGTGACCAGGACCGCCGCAGTAGCTCAGGTCCGGACTGTGACCAGGACCGCTGCAGTAGCTCAGGTCCGGACTGTGACCTGTGGAAGTTGGAGCAGCCGCCTGTGCCTCGGGATGAGTCACGGTGGGATTGCCATTAGCGAGCGGCCATAACTCCTGTCCAGCTGTTCCCTCTAATATACAGCCAACTCCAGGGCCACTCCAGGCCTGCTCCACCCCCCACCACCACCCCTACCTCCCCCATCCCATTTCCACCGCCCTCCACCCCCCTCCACACCGCACACACCCCTCTCCCGTTCAGAATCCACTCACGTTACAACCATCCGCAGTTACCTTCTGCTTTACCCCCAAACCAAGTGCCGTAGTGATGCTGTCAGACACGTGTGGCGTATCACTGCACTGGAGAAACTCTGAACATTAGAATATTGTCCAAAAGTCTGTAATTTAACTTAATATTTCACTAATGTATGATATAGACTCCTTGTATCTGTTTGTTGTTGATGATTGTGGCTCATTTAATCTGAAAACAAAGACACAGAAGGAGCTGGTTCTGGTTAAACAGGGACGGTGGAAACTCTCCCAATCAGGAGAGAGTAGGGTAGAGTAGAGTAGGGTAGGGTAGAGTAGAGTAGAGTAGAGTTGAGTAGAGTAGAGTAGAGTAGAGTAGAGTAGAGTAGAGTAGAGTAGGGTAGGGTAGGGTAGGGTAGGATAGGATAGAGTTGGGTAAAGGGTAGGGTTGGGTAGAGTAGAATAGAGTAGAGTATGGTAGGGTAGAGTAGAGTAGGGTAGAGTAGAGTAGAGTAGAGTAGAGTAGAGTAGGGTAGGGTAGGGTAGAATAGAGTAGAGTAGGGTAGAGTAGAGTATGGTAGGGTAGAGTAGAGTAGAGTAGGGTAGAGTAGAGTAGAGTAGAGTAGGGTAGGGTAGAGTAGAGTAGGGTAGGGTAGAGTAGAGTTGGGTAAAGGGTAGGGTTGGGTAGAGTAGAGTAGAGTAGAGTAGAGTAGAGTAGAGTAAAGGGTAGGGTTGGGTGGAGTAGGCCAGGCCAGGCCAGGGCAGGTTAGAGTATGAAATACAACAAGTATTTTTTAGTCGCAATAACAATATGATGTCACACTGTTGTTTCTGAACCCATGGAGCTGGTTGTGTGGTTGCCGTGTGGTTGCCGTGTGGTTGTCGCGGTGACGGTGACAGGCATCACCTGTGCCTCAGCCGTAGGCGCTAATGTCCCGTTACTGCAGCCATAGGGCGCTCTCGAGCACGTGCCTTTGAAGCCGCGCCCGCCCTGGTGTTTCCCGCTCTGCCGGCAGCGAATCATTTGAATATTTTATGAGGCGGGGAAAATTGGAAGTGTCAAATGAGATGTGCAGCCTTTGATTTGAACACGTCTCGCTGTCCCAGTCGATGAGCAGGGAGAGGCCCACGGAGAGGGAGGCGAGGGGAGGGGGGGTGAGGAGGGGGGAGGCGAGGGGGGTGAGAGGGGGTGGATGTTGTGGTGACTTACGGCTGGAGCCCGCGGAGATCGCACCGTGGCCGCGGCTCCGGAGAGATTTATGGACGGCTCAGTGATGTATTGTGGAATTGTGCGTGTTCAAATGAGCAGGTAAATGCGTGGCAGCCCTGGAAGAGCAGAGCATCATTCATTAACGACCGTGAGGCGAGGACACGGCCTGCTCTCTGCTCACATGGTCACATGGTCACATGGTCACCACACCAGCGTGCGCTATAAAGTATATTCACTATAAACATTCTGTTCAAGGTACTTCACAGCTGCAGTCGTCTCGTGGATTTACAAAGTTGTGGATTCAGAAACAGCAGATCAGAGAATCACAGTGTTCACAAGTCCTCGGTCCATGTTGTTTATACTGTTTACACTGTCTTTAGAACAGGGGTGTCAAACCTTTTTCAATCGGAGAGCTACTTTCATATTAAAGAAGAGAGAGAGAGCTACTCCTTTTGGAAGTTGTAATAAAAATCGATCCAATAGTTACGAAAAAACATGGAAAAAATATGTAAGATACAATACAGTAAAATATGATATTATGTATTTATACTTATAATGGATTTGCAATGACTAAAAATGTATTCATTAAACATCATTTGTTTAATTCTAAATTCTTTGGCGGGCTACCAGAAAGTGACTGACGAGCTACTGGTAGGTCCCGACGCACAGGTTGGAGACCCCTGCCTTAGACTCAGCAAGGAGGGTCTGAAGACAGTGGATAAAAGCGAGACTATAGACCCAGGACTGAGGCTGTAGACCCAGGACTGAGGCTGTAGACCCAGGACTGAGGCTGTAGACCCAGCACTGAGGCTGTAGACCCAGGACTGAGGCTGTAGACCCAGGACTGAGGCTGTGGATCCAGGACTGAGGCTGTAGATCCAGGACTGAGGCTGTAGACCCAGGACTGAGACTGTAGACCCAGGACTGAGGCTGTGGATCCAGGACTGAGGCTGTAGACCCAGGACTGAGACTGTAGACCCAGGACTGAGGCTGTAGACCCAGGACTGAGGCTGTAGACCCAGGACTGAGGCTGTAGATCCAGGACTGAGGCTGTAGACCCAGGACTGAGGCTGTAGATCCAGGACTGAGGCTGTAGACCCAGGACTGAGGCTGTAGATCCAGGACTGAGGCGGTAGACCCAGGACTGAGGCTGTAGATCCAGGACTAAGATTCTGATTTTGAGAATGTCTCAGGTCGACGCTTGTTACACCAGAAATATACTGTACTTCCTGTTAAACGGTGACCTGTGAGATTCAGATCTAAATCTCTTTGACCCTGAGATGTTTCTTTTCCAGTGTTTTCAGCCTGAGGTCTCCTGTCTGCCTCAAACCAGCGTACGCAGAGCTGTATGCTAATATATATAATATATTTATACATGCGGACGTATAAACATACTTATGATGCTTTTATCGTACGGGTTCAAAGGCAGTGGTGTCATCCTTCATGAGATGATTCTGTGGATAAAGTGTTTCCTGCGATCCTCAAAAAGGCTTCTCTTTTGAACCCTATGACTTTATGGTTTATCATTTAAAATGGACCCACAGTTATTCTCACTGGTATTTAGGACGTTCTACACAAACCCCCTGGGTCTACAGCCTCAGTCCTGGGTCTACAGGCTCAGTCCTTGTTGTTATTGCATTTTCTGTGTTGGAACAGTTTGATTCTCTGATCTGTAACTTTGTAAAGTCCTTCGAGACGACTGCTGTGATTTGGGGCAAGACACAAATACATTGAATAGAAGTAAATCAGTGTCTTCAAAAACATGAGTTGAACAATGTAGCTACTGAAGGTGATTCCTGTGATAGTGTTGGTGACGGTGGACACTTGACCCACTCTCATGTCCCTCAGCCGACTGCATCGCCAACTACACCAACCAGCTGGACAACAAGCCGGCCAACCTCATGGTCCCCGAGTCCGGAGTCTACAGCGACGTGGATCTGTCCAACAAGATCAACGAGATGAAGACCTTCAACAGCCCCAACCTCAAAGACTGCCGCTTCACGGGGCCTGGAGGTCAGCCCACGCCGTACGCCACCACACAGCTGATCCAGTCCGCCATGATGGGCCCGGACCGAGGGGGCACCGGGGGCAGCGGGGGGGGAGGGGGTGGAGACCTCAACGAGAAGCACTGCTGGAAGGCCGGCCACCACCAGAACATCATGGAGCAGAACAAACTGAACAAGGGTGAGTGAGGACATCCCGGTCGTCCCGGTCGTCCTGGTCGCCCCGGTCGTCCCGGTCGTCCCGGTCGTCTCTCTGAAGTCCTCACCTTCCAGCTTTCACTCCTGCTTTTGGGAATCACCGCCGACTTCCATCTTTCCTTTGCTTCTGCAGTTGCTCCTCATCACAAACATCTGCAGTCTTTAAAATGACTTATATTCAGGATGTTGTTTAGTCACAGTTTCTTTTACTCTCGGACAAAGTTGAAAAGAGAGAGAATAGTAGTAAAATCAAGAACATGAGAAAACACATATATTCATAAAACAGATAAATACTGATGAATGAATGAACAAGGTACATTTTGCAGTTATCCATCTGCAATGAATGGTAATGATAATAATAATACATTTTTATTTCAATCAAAAACAGACATAAACAGACATGATTCAGGAGATTAAAGCAGACGGACCAGAAAGACACAATATAGACCGTAGATTATAAGAATGCACTGCGTCTCCATCAGCTCCTTCAGCGTATTATTATAACTTTTCAGATATGTCTAAAAACATTCAAACAGCACCGTGAGTGTGACCTGCATTTAAGTCATTCTAAATCCATGTTCCCAGAGCTGTTGGACATCTCTCTCGTTCATCTGTGTTTCCACATTCTGTCGGTCTCTCTCTCAGAATCTGCAGCTCTGAAAAGCCTCTCTTTGGTTCTCAGAGTTTACGGTCTTCTTCTCTGTACGACACTGTTTATGGAATCCACTTCAAAGCGTTTCAGAAACTACTTTCACATCTGTGTTTGTGCACGAGCATGTCCTGATGCATGAGTCAGAAACACTCTCTCTTCTATCTGTCTATAGTCTCTCTCTCTGCTCTCTCTGGTCTCTCTCTGGTCTCTCTCTGGTCTCTCTCTGGTCTCTCTCTGGTCTCTCTCTGGTCCTCTCTCTCTCTCTCTCTCTGGTCTCTCTCTGCTCTCTCTCTGCTCTCTCTCTGGTCTCTCTCTGGTCTCTCTCTGGTCTCTCTCTGGTCTCTCTCTGCTCTCTCTCTGGTCTCTCTCTGCTCTCTCTCTGCTCTCTCTCTGGTCTCTCTCTGGTCTCTCTCTGGTCTCTCTCTGGTCTCTCTCTGCTCTCTCTCTGGTCTCTCTCTGGTCTCTCTCTGCTCTCTCTCTGGTCTCTCTCTGGTCTCTCTCGCTCTCTGGTCTCTCTCTGCTCTCTCTCTGCTCTCTCTCTGGTCTCTCTCTCTGGTCTCTCTCTGGTCTCTCTCTGGTCTCTCTCTCTGGTCTCTCTCTGGTCTCTCTCTGGTCTCTCTCTGCTCTCTCTCTGGTCTCTCTCTGCTCTCTCTCTGCTCTCTCTCTGGTCTCTCTCTGGTCTCTCTCTGGTCTCTCTCTGGTCTCTCTGGTCTCTCTCTGCTCTCTCTCTGGTCTCTCTCTGGTCTCTCTCTAGTCTCTCTCCGGTCTCCTTCTGGTCTCTCTGGTCTCTCTGGTCTCTCTCTGCTCTCTCTCTGGTCTCTCTCTAGTCTCTCTCCGGTCTCCTTCTGGTCTCTCTGGTCTCTCTCTGGTCTCTCTCTGCTCTCTCTCTGCTCTCTCTCTGGTCTCTCTCTGGTCTCTCTCTGCTCTCTCTCTGCTCTCTCTCTGCTCTCTCTCTGGTCTCTCTCTGGTCTCTCTCTGCTCTCTCTCTGCTCTCTCTCTGCTCTCTCTCTGGTCTCTCTCCGGTCTCTCTCGGTCTCTCTCTCTGGTCTCTCTCTGGTCTCTCTCTGCTCTCTCTCTGCTCTCTCTCTGGTCTCTCTCTGGTCTCTCTATGCTCTCTCTCTGCTCTCTCTCTGGTCTCTCTCTGGTCTCTCTCTGGTCTCTCTCTGGTCTCTCTCTGGTCTCTCTCTGGTCTCTCTCTGGTCTCTCTCTGGTCTCTCTGCTCTCTCTGGTCTCTCTCTGGTCTCTCTCTGGTCTCTCTCTGCTCTCTCTCTGCTCTCTCTCTGGTCTCTCTCTGCTCTCTCTCTGCTCTCTCTCTGGTCTCTCTCTGCTCTCTCTCTGCTCTCTCTCTGCTCTCTCTCTGGCCTCTCTCTCGTCTCTCTCTGCTCTCTCTCTGGTCTCTCTCTGCTCTCTCTCTGCTCTCTCTCTGCTCTCTCTCTGGTCTCTCTCTGGTCTCTCTCTGGTCTCTCTCTGGTCTCTCTCTGGTCTCTCTGGTCTCTCTGCTCTCTCTGGTCTCTCTCTGGTCTCTCTCTGGTCTCTCTCTGGTCTCTCTCTGGTCTCTCTGGTCTCTCTCTGCTCTCTCTCTGGTCTCTCTCTGCTCTCTCTCTGCTCTCTCTCTGCTCTCTCTCTGCTCTCTCTCTGATATCTCTCTAGTGTCTCTCCAACATAAACCCAGTTGTTTGATATAAATCTCTTGCTTCCTCAGTTCAGGACAGTATCCTGGAGCCCCTGTCCTTCCCAGAGTTGCCTGGTCCTGGTACCGGTCCTGGCTTCTCCTTCTCCTCCTCTCCTCTCTCGTGTCTCTTCTGTCCTGAGTCTCTGCCTCCGCATCAGACAGACGTCCTGCTGAAGCATCTGCTGCTGAGACACAAACTAGTGATCGCTGACGTCAAACTCATCGCAGATCTGCCGCAGTAAGAACACACTTCACCCTTGAGCACTTCCCTTTGGGCTTCAGTGAGCTAGTGGGTTAGCATTGTCCGTCTGTATACAGTCCATGTTAGCATTGTCTGTCTCTATATGGTCTCTACTTCAAAAAGGCATCATAGTTATTTTAAATGTATTCCTTAGAAGTGTTTTTTATTCTTTATTTTTTATTATGCCCTCTCCTCTTACCTCTCTCTCTGACTGTTGCACTGAGCCAAAGCAATTTCCAACTCTGACTTCCTGTTACTTACGTGGCAATAAAAAATGATTCTGATAGTTAAGGTTATTTAGATTATGATATGTCATTTTGAACGAAGTATTTGAGCATAGTACTAGTATAAAATCTTGTACATAAAAGTACTAATGTGAAACAAAAGGATTCCCAAAATGTTGATTTTCCAATAGCAGATCAGAAAACAAGCAAACCATTAAAATGAACTGTAGGCCACACGTTGTGTGTGTGTGTGTGTGTGTGTGTGTGTGTGTGTGTGTGTGTGTGTGTGTGTGTGTGTGTGTGTGTGTGTGTGTGTGTGTGTGTGTGTGTGTGTGTGTGTGTGTGTGTGTGTGTGTGTGTGTGTGTGTGTGTGTGTGTGTGTGTGTGTTTTTCTGTATTAACCACGCATTTTGGCCTGTGACCGCAGCGTTTATTATGAATTAAATGACATCGCAACCGAATCCAGCCTCTTCGTTTGTTTTCTATACTTATTTAGGGCGTTTCCTAGTCTGTGACCTCCTGTTACTTACGTGACAATAAAAACGATTCTGATTCTGATACACTTTTATCGTCCCCAACTCGCCTCCGCGGCTTTAGCCAACAGGCAGCCACTATATGGACATAGCTCCTGGAACTATACAGATACATCTAGAAGAGCAAAGACCTTTGGCAGACCTTCCTTGTCCCAACTCTCTCTGGTCTCTTCCTGATGTTTTTGGTCTTTCTCTGGTCTCTCTCAGGGTTTCTCTGTTTGTCCATCCGTCTGTTGACATAACCCAAAAAGACACATCCTCATGCATTTCCTCTGAGTACTATCAACAGTAAATCCCAGTTGTCATTTTTCTAGTCTCAAACCACATTAATAATGATTTTCTGTTTTCCCGCAGGTATTTAATGCATTGGAAAGGCAGGTTCCTGGAGCAGCCGCTGGAGGACTTCTGCAGCGTGATCAAGACCAACTCCCAGGGTCCAGTGGGTGAGAGCAACATTAAAACTATTATATTTACATCTCTCGTCTCATACCATTTTATAATGTGATTCTCTCTCTGTTCTCTCTCTGTTCTCTCTCTGGTCTCTCTCTGTTCTCTCTCTGTTCTCTCTCTGTTCTCTCTCTGGTCTCTCTCTGGTCTCTCTCTGGTCTCTGTCTGGTCTCTGTCTGGTCTCTGTCTGGTCTCTGTCTGTTCTCTCTCTGGTCTCTCTCTGGTCTCTCTCTGGTCTCTCTCTGGTCTCTCTCTGGTCTCTCTGGTCTCTTCATGCAGAGAAACAGGAGTACTATTATCTTCTGTGCGACGTTCTTCCAGAAGACAGAGTTCTCAGAGAAAAGCTACAACAGAAAAGACTGGTAAGAATCATTATTACCGTTGTGTTACCATGGATACATTGTTCTGTTGGCTTTGTTGGTTTGTATATATTGCTTTAAATCCGTAATTGCTGGTGTCTTCAGGAGGAGGTGTTGGAGCAGCAGCAGAGGGAGCGAGAGGACTCCACATTCCATCGGATCTGTATGTTCTGCAACGAGGACTTCACTGGAAACAGGTGAAATATTTCACAGAGACTCCACAGCCCCAGTCTTGGATCTACAGCCTCAGTCCTGGGTCTACAGCCTCAGTCCTGGATCTACAGCCTCAGTCCTGGGTCTACAGCCTCAGTCCTGGATCTACAGCCTCAGTCCTGAATCTACAGCCCCAGTCCTGGATCTACAGCCTCAATCCTGAATCTACAGCCCCAGTCCTGGATCTGTGCTGGATTTACAGCCTCAGTCTCTGCAGCCTCAGTCCTGGATCTACAGCCCCAGTCCTGGATCTACAGCCCCAGTCCTGGATCTACAGCCCCAGTCCTGGATCTACAGCCCCAGTCCTGGATCTACAGCCTCAGTCCTGGATCTACAGCCTCAGTCCTAGATCTACAGCCTCAGTCCTAGATCTACAGCCTCAGTCCTGGATCTACAGCCTCAGTCCTGGATCTACAGCCTCAGTCCTAGATCTACAGCCTCAGTCCTGGATCTACAGCCTCAGTCCTGGATCTACAGCCTCAGTCCTGGATCTACAGCCTCAGTCCTGGATCTACTGCCTCAGTCCTGGATCTACTGCCTCAGTCCTGGATCTACAGCCCCAGTCCTGGATCTGTCCTGGATCTACAGCCTCAGTCCTGGATCTACAGCCTCAGTCCTGGATCTACTGCCTCAGTCCTGGATCTACAGCCCCAGTCCTGGATCTGTCCTGGATCTACAGCCTCAGTCCTGGATCTACAGCCTCAGTCCTGGATCTACAGCCCCAGTCCTGGATCTGTCCTGGATCTACAGCCTCAGTCTTGCTATTGTGGTTTAGGGTGATGCACAAATAAATTGACACAAACCTAATGCTTCCTGGTTCCAGGTCCAGTCTCCTGAACCATATGGCCAGAGAGCACTCCTTCAGCATCGGTCTTCCGGACAACATCGTCTACTGCGACCAGTTCTTGGACACTCTGCAGAACAAACTGGACAGGTCTGATGGCAGCGAGGGAGGGGAGGGGCTAAATGTGAGGATTTGATAGTATCGTGATATTCGGGCCACAATTCAATATTATTGCAATTCTTAAAATATCGCGATGCAGCAAGTATTGTGATGTGATTCTGTGATATATTGCGATTCATGTCCTCACAAACAACACACTAGAGTCACAAAAAGCAGACATCAGAGAGGAAAAACACAAAAGTGAAACGGAGAACTTTTTAATCTAATTTCACAATACTTTGTTGCACTGTATCCATTTCATTTCTTACTGTTTGAATGTGCATTCCTCAGTCTTCAGTGTTTGTACTGTGAGAAAACCTTTCGAGACAAGATCACTCTGAAGGATCACATGAGGAAGAAGTCTCACCGACGAATCAACGCCAGCAACCGGGTCTACGACCGCTTCTACGTCATCAACTACCTGGTATACAACTGGTCTCTCTCTGGTCTCTCTGGTCTTTGGTCTATATCTCTCTGGTCTCTCTCTGGATTGATGGTTCCTTGTTTATTTCAGGAGTTGGGGAAAACCTGGGAGGAGGTGCAGAGCGAAGACGACAGAGAGTTAGTAGACGATGGAGACGAGTGAGTTTTCTTTCATAATTATCAAACAAATCATTCGACACAATTCAAACTCCTGGTAAATGGTACTTACAGGTAAAACTGGTCAAATTAGAATATAGTCAAAAGTTCATATGAAACCAGTAAAGGCTACAGACTTGACCAATCAAATGCCTTCATTCAGGGAGAAACTCCAGCTTGTCCTAGCAACCATCTTAGTAACACATTCATTTACATTTGTCCCGCTATGGCTTGTGGTTCACCCTGTTGAAACAAATGCCCATATAAGGAAACTATCTCCAACTTATGTTCAAGTCCCCTGCATTAAGCATAACACGGTGGTGATGTCACTCTCCTCATGTCCTCAGTGATTGGTCGGACTGGCAGGCCCACCCGGTGTCTGCGGTCTGTCTGTTCTGTGAGCATCAGGCGGAAACCATGGAGCTTATCTACTCACACATGAAGGTAATCTATTACATCTGTTATACTCACACATAAAGGAACCAACACAGCCTAGACTACACTTATATCTGAGTACGTCTTGTTTCAGGACAGTCATGGGTTCGACCTCCACAAGCTGAGGACTGATCTGAGTGAGTGAACACAGAACAGATGGCTTTTCATATTATTGATTTTAGATCTCACATTACTACTCCGGGAGGAAAACCGGGAGGAGGCCCCGGGGAAGACCCAGGACTCGCTGGAGGGACTATGTCTCTCAGCTGGCCTGGGAACGCCTTGGAGTCCCCCCGGGCGAGCTGGAGGAGGTGTGTGTGGATAGGGAAGTCTGGGCGTCTCTGCTTAGACTGCTGCCCCCGCGACCCGGCAACGGATGAAGCGGAAGAAAACTGGATGGATTATTACTCTGTTAAAGTTCTTCATTTTCTGAACTTGTTTGTCTTTAATTAAACTACATGTCGTAGCATTGTCTCCACCAGCTCTACCTCTACTCTACCCTACTCTGCTTTACCCCTACTCTACTACACACCCACCCTACCCTTCTACTACACACCCACCCTACCCTACCCTACTCTACTACACACCCACCCTACCCTACCCTACTCTACTACCCTACCCTACTCTACTCTACCCTACCCTACTCTACTACCCTACCCGACCCTACTCTACTCTACCCTACCCTACCCTACCCTACTCTACTCTACCCTACCCTACTCTACTCTACCCTACCCTACTCTACCCTACCCTACCCTACCCTACCCTACCCTACCCTACTCTACCCTACTCTACCCTACCCTACTCTACCCTACTCTACCCTACCCTACCCTACTCTACTCTACCCTACTCTACTCTACTCTACCCTACCCTACCCTACTCTACCCTACCCTACCCTACTCTACCCTACCCTACTCTACTCTACCCTACCCTACTCTACCCTACCCTACCCTACTCTACTCTACCCTACCCTACTCTACCCTACCCTACCCTACCCTACTCTACTCTACCCTACCCTACTCTACTCTACTCTACCCTACCCTACTCTACTCTACTCTACCCTACTCTACTCTCCTCAACTCTACCCTACCCTACTCTACTCTACTTTACCCTACCCTACTCTACTCTACCCTAACCTACTCTACTCTACCCTACCCTACTCTACCCTACTCTACCCTACCCTACCCTACTCTACTCTACCCTACTCTACTCTACTCTACCCTACCCTACCCTACTCTACCCTACCCTACCCTACTCTACCCTACCCTACTCTACCCTACCCTACTCTACTCTACCCTACCCTACTCTACCCTACCCTACCCTACCCTACACTCTACTCTACCCTACCCTACTCTACTCTACTCTACTCTACCCTACCCTACTCTACTCTACTTTACCCTACCCTACTCTACTCTACTCTACCCTACCCTACTCTACTCTACTTTACCCTACCCTACTCTACTCTACCCTAACCTACTCTACTCTACCCTACCCTACTCTACTCTACTCTACTCTACCCTACCCTACTCTACTTTACCCTACCCTACTCTACTCTACCCTAACCTACTCTACTCTACCCTACCCTACTCTACTCTACTCTACTCTACTCTACCCTACTCTATTCTACCCTACCCTACTCTACTCTACTCTACCCTACCCTACTCTACTCTACTTTACCCTACCCTACTCTACTCTACCCTAACCTACTCTACTCTACCCTACCCTACTCTACCCTACCCTACCCTACTCTACTCTACTCTACTCTACCCTACTCTACTCTACCCTACCCTACTCTATTCTACCCTACCCTACTCTACTCTACCCTAGTGTTAAATACACGATTATTGAATAGTTTAAAGTGCAGTATAATAAGGTGCAGTGTGTTTGATGGACTCGTCCTCTGCAGGTCTTCACTTCTACCAGCAGGTGAAGCTGGTGAACTTCATCCGCCGCGAGATCCACCAGAGCCGATGCTACGGCTGTGAGCAGAGGTTTGAGTGCCGCGAGGACGTTCTGCAGCACCTGACCAACGAGGGACACAACATGATGCTGCCACCCCCCAGTATCTGGAACCAGCCTCAGTGAGTGAGAGAGACCAGAGAGAGAGAGACCAAAGAGAGAGGCTTGTCTAAACTCATCTGTTTAGACAAGCCTAGTCACTAACATCATAACCACACTCTCCTCTGTCCATAATGCTTTTATTAGGCCAGAGTGAGAGAGACCAGAGTGAGAGAGACCAGAGTGAGAGAGGCCAGAGTGAGAGAGGCCAGAGTGAGAGAGGCCAGAGTGAGAGAGACCAGAGTGAGAGAGGCCAGAGTGAGAGAGGCCAGAGTGAGAGAGCCAGAGTGAGAGAGGCCAGAGTGAGAGAGGCCAGAGTGAGAGAGGCCAGAGTGAGAGAGGCCAGAGTGAGAGAGGCCAGAGTGAGAGAGGCCAGAGTGAGAGAGGCCAGAGTGAGAGAGGCCAGAGTGACAGAGAGAGGCCAGAGTGAGAGACCAGAGTGAGAGAGGCCAGAGTGAGAGAGGCCAGAGTGAGAGAGGCCAGAGTGAGAGAGGCCAGAGTGAGAGAGGCCAGAGTGAGAGAGGCCAGAGTGAGAGAGGCCAGAGTGAGAGAGGCCAGAGTGACAGAGAGAGGCCAGAGTGAGAGAGGCCAGAGAGAAACAGACCAAAGAGTGAAATAGTGACTTACTGGTGTGTTGATGATAATACTAATGTTTTCTAATGCCTTTGTGCTCTGAAAGGTGCACAACCTTTTTTAATCACTTCAATGTCAACTACCTGTTATAAAACTTATCTCTATCTGCTCCATCTCTCTAGCTTTTTGCTCTCTGGTCTCTCCCACAAACCTTTCTCTCACTGGTCCCTCTCTGGCCTCTCTCTGGTCCCTCTCTGGTCTCTGGCCTCTCTCTGGTCCCTCTCTGGCCTCTCTCTGGTCCCTCTCTGGTCTCTGGCCTCTCACTGGTCCCTCTCTGGTCTCTAGCCTCTCCCAGGTTCTTATCTCTCTCTCTCTGTGGCAGATATTACTTCCCCACATATGAGAACGATGCTCTCCTGTGTTCGCTGTCAGACAGTGATGACGGCGAGGGAGACGGCGTCCCTGTGATCGCTGAGGACATGTCCAACCTGCGAGACATCAGACAGAGCAGCGTCCTGAACCAACTGCTGCGGCCCCGCGGCGCCAGGAGCTGATCCTCCAGAGGACACATGGGACAGTACCGAAACATGGGCCTAATGTGATTTAGAAACCCTTTTATAATGCACCATAAAGCTTGGGTACCTTCAGAACCACAAGTAAAACTATGTAATATCATCCAACAACCCCAGACCCAGAAATGGACAAACGGAAAGAAAATGAATGGATGACGTTTCTTTCTCTCTGGTCTCTCCCTGTTTTCACTATGTTCTCTCTCTCTGGTCTCACTATTTGGTCCCTCTCTCACTCTGGTCTCTCTCTCTCTTGAGAAATATTGTACTATTATGTTCCGTAAGTATATTATAACCATAATATACAATAAGTATATAATAACAATAACTATATAATAACAATAAAAAATAGTCTCCTCCCTTGGCTTGACTCATTTCAATCCAATGTATTTGCGTCTTGCCTGAAATCACAGCAGCAGGACTTTACAAAGTTGTGGATTCGACAACAACAAATTAGAGAATCAAATGCAATAATAACAAATGCACAAACACATGGGAGCCATTGGTCCATAGGGATCAGGATGACTGAGAGGACTGGGGCCGTAGATCCAGGACTGGGGCCATTAAAAGCCATGTTTCATATTTCATTTCAAATAAATATCTGAACTTTCGTAGGTAATACCTTGAAGAGCTGCTTTTAAAAGTGCAGAGGAGGTGGTTTAAATCCGCTCTGTTCAGCAGCTTTGGGACAGTCTGAAACATTAAGACCTTCAAGGGAAAGAGTTGAACAGTGAGACTTTATTTAGACAGAATCTAGAAACGTCTTGGTCACAGTTAGTTTTCTGTTGTGTTTTTTCTTTTTTTTTTGCAAAATCAAGACAACCATAATAACACATTAAGGACATATGTAATAAATCCCTGAGATTTTAAACACACTCATGTCAGCAGTTTCTCTTGTTTTGCCATTACCTTTTCCTTGTGTGTGAAAGGTGCTACATAAATAAACTTGCCATGTGTTAGAATTCAAAAAAGATTTCCCATTTATGTTTTTGGCTTTGAAAATCAAATCAAACAGATTATCCTTGTACCAATTGTTGATAAAGTCACAACTCTTCAGCAGAGATGTCCAAAACTGTGGTCCTCTGGCTCTAACACAGGGCAGTGGTACTTTCAGCGTCATCCAGCCAAATTCAGCTCCAACAGGACAGTCATCAGAGCCTCTGGAAGCCAGTTATTCACTTTATCTGTATAATCTGTTGTTTTTCATTGTGTCACACTAAATGAATAATAATATAAATAAAGATTACTTACTTACTTACTTACTAATGTAGCGGTGCCAAGAATCAGTATAAACAAATATCAGACCCAACGACTGCTTCAACATCATCTACATGGTCTGGTCTAGTCTCTCACTGGTCTCTCTCTGGCGTCTCTCTGGAGTCTCTCAGTTTTTTCTTTGTATCTCTCTGGTCCCTCTCTCTGGTGTCTCTCTGGTCTGTCTCTCTGGTGTCAGTTCTTCTGGTTCTTGGTCCTGGTGGGGGTGATGTTTTGTGAGGCCTTCCCCAGTGAAACCTGTCGAACGCTGGATCCAAACTGTAGAGAACTCAGGGTCTCAGTGACATCCTCCACATCTGGGCTGACGTTTACGAACACACAACACTGAAACAAACAGCAGAGTGTGTGTATATCTCTGTGTTTGTGTGTTTGTGTGTGTGTCTGACCTTTGCGTCTCCACTGAGCGCCGGCTGCAGGAGCCGAGTGAGTTTGGAGTTTCTGAACGGGACGTGGAGCGAGTTACACTTTAAAGCACTGAAGACCTGCAACAACACACAATACTGAGACCAGAGAGAGACCAGAGACAGACCAGAGATGGAGATCAGAGAGAGATCAGAGAGGGGCCAGAGACAGACCAGAGTGAAACCAGAGAGAGACCAGAGAGAGAGACACTAGAGTGAAACCAGAGAGACCAGAGTGAGACCAGAGTGAAACCAGAGAAAGACACCAGAGAGAGAGGCCTGATGTCACACACCTGTCCCAGTGCAGTGAGAGAGCGGTTGATAGCTGCAGCCTCCACCAGTCTCTGTCCAGTGGCCTCAGTCTTGGAGATTCTCTCTGATCCTGCCAGGTCACACAGAGTCAGAGCGCCCCTAGAGGTCAGTCCTGACACTGCATCTGAACCCTCCACCTCCAACGCCACCACCAGGTGAGAGCGAGAACTGCAACACAATTACATACCGCTGATCAACCGATCACTCTCTAGTGACCAGAGAGAGACCAGAGGGAGACCAGAGGGAGACCAGAGAGAGACCAGAGAGAGACCAGAGAGTGTTTCCTACACACCGACCTCTGCGTGTTCATCTGGGTGGCAGCGATCTTGCGGTTCTTCTCTCCCGTTTCCATGGTGCTGAGGATGTCGGCCTCGGTCTGGACTTGAACTTGGGTCAGACCTGGGACCGACACAGACTTCCCCTGGACCCGCAGATCCAGAGACGAGCCAGGGGTCAGAAGGTCGTTCAGAGTCTCATTGTAGATCTCCAACATCGACATCTGGGAGAAAACCAGTTTCTGTGGATTTGAACCATCACTGTGTTCTCTTTCTATGATCTCCCTCTGGTCTTCCTCTGGTGTTCCTCTAGTCTCCCTCTAGTCTCCCTCTAGTCTCCCCCTAGTCACCCTCTGTTTTCCCTATGGTCTCCCTCTGGCCTCCCTCTGGTCACGCTCTGGTCTCTCTCTCTGGTTTCTCACCTTTAAAGTATATGACACCTTCTCCCTCTCGGCACATATCCGCAGCAGTTCCGGTATTGACCTGTAGGGGACAGGGTTTTGTCAGAGCCAAACTTCACACCTGAGCGTTTCATTACACTGCGGCTGTAACTTTAGTCCGGTTTGGAAACTCTACCACCGGATTACTGTCAGCAGACTCTGACTGTGCGTGTGTCTCTGGTTCATTCATAATTCATCAGGACAGTTGAGTCTGATGATCCTCTGATTGTGGAGAGAAGAATGAAGACGGGATTTTTAAAATGTTTTTAATGGAACGGAACGTTTAAGAGGATCATGAGCTTAAGGCTAAAGATACAGTCTATGGTCAAGAAGAGAGGACTGAGATTGTAATACAACAGGGAAGTTGCAGCAGCAGTAGCATCAGCAGAAGTAGTAGTAGAAGTAGCAGCAGGAGTAGTAGCAGTAGTAGTAGCAGCAGCAGAAGTAGTAGCAGTAGAAGCAGCAGCAGCAGAAGTAGTAGCAGCAGCAGCAGCAGCAGCAGCAGAAGTAGTAGCAGCAGCAGAAGTAGTGGTAGTAGCAGCAGCAGAACTAGTAGCAGTAGAAGTAGCAGCAGCAGAAGTAGCAGTAGTAGCAGCAGCAGAAGTAGTAGCAGTAGAAGTAGCAGCAGCAGAAGTAGTAGCAGTAGAAGCAGCAGCAGCAGAAGTAGTAGTAGCAGCAGCAGAAGTAGTAGCAGTAGAAGTAGCAGCAGCAGAAGTAGCAGTAGCAGCAGCAGCAGAAGTAGTAGCAGTAGAAGTAGCAGCAGCAGAAGTAGTAGCAGTAGAAGCAGCAGCAGCAGAAGTAGTAGCAGCAGCAGAAGTAGTGGTAGTAGCAGCAGCAGAACTAGTAGCAGTAGAAGTAGCAGCAGAAGTAGCAGTAGTAGCAGCAGCAGAAGTAGTAGCAGTAGTAGCAGCAGCAGAAGTAGTAGTAGTAGCAGAAGTAGTAGCAGTAGTAGCTGTAGTATCAGTAGTATCAGTAGTATCAGTAGTATCAGTAGTATCAGTAGTAGTAGCTGGCATTGGCTGTAGATTTGTTTGCCAAATATCTGTATCCGTGAATTAATGCTAATCCAGACCTTCTTTTTTTATTGATTATTATGATTATTATATTCTATTTACTTTTATTGTTCGGCACAATAGGTGAAAAGCAAAAAAGAGACAAAAAAGTTGTGTCTAAATATGCTTTGTGTATAATTTGCTTTGATCATGTTAATGTACTGTGCAAAGACACAATAAAGTATACCAGTGAAAGTAGTAGCAGTAGCAGTAGAAGTGGTTGTATCAGTAGCAGACCTATAGAATCTTGTGTGTTCATATAGACCACATTCCAGACCTGATGTTGACCCCCGGCTGCTCCTTGGTCCCCATCATGGTGTAAGTTTTGCCAGATCCAGTTTGACCATAAGCCAAAATACAGACGTTGTATCCATCGACACAGGAGCGGATCACCGGCAGAGTCCCGGCAAACACCTCCTCCTGGACACACACGTTCATTCAGATTTACACAAATGTGACGCCATTTTCACAACTGCTTTCACTTCCATCCGTCTCTGCACTTGTAAGGAAGTATAAAGGTATACGTTTTCACATTAGTTTTACATTTACTTTTTTAGAGCCCTGCACATACGCTAATGGTCTATTGTCTTTCTCTCTGGTCTTTGTCTCTCGTCTCTCTCTGGTCTCTCTTTCTAGTCTCTTTTTGGTCTCTGTCTATGGTCTCTTTCTAGTCTCTGGTCTCTCTCTCTTGTCTCTATTTGGTCTCTGTCTTTGGTCTCTCTCACTAGTCTCGCTCTGGTCTCTGTCTATGTTCTCTCTTTCTAGTCTCTCTCTCTAGTCTCTCTCTGGTCTCTTTCTAGTCTCTCTGGTCTTTCTCTTTTGTCTCTCTCTTGTCTCTATTTGGTCTCTGTCTTTGGTCTCTCTCACTAGTCTCTCTCTGGTCTCTTTCTAGTCTCTCTCTGGTCTCTCTCTCTTATCTCTATTTGGTCTCTGTCATTGGTCTCTGGTATCTGTCTCCAATCTCTTTCTAGTCTCTCTCTGGTATCTGTCTCCTATCTCTTTCTGGTCTCTGATCTCTCTCTCTGGTCTCTCAAGTGTCCTCTGGTCTATGTTTCTGGTCTTTCTTCCTCTGGTCTGTGTCTCTGGTCTCTCTCTGGTCTCTCTCTCTGGTCTACATGTGGGACAGATAAAAGTCTTGTCTCATCTCCTCCTGTACCTGTGTGCTGCTGCAGCCGTACACCTTGTCAAACTGAAGCTTCTTCCTGTTTCCTTTCTGGATCACAGCCACTTCCTGTTGGTCGGGGCTCTCCTCCAGACAGCGCTCGCTCCTGCTGGTCCAGCGACAGCGGCAGAACACCCGGATGTTCCCCTGCAGCTCCATCACCTTGTTGTAGAGACTCTTCCTCTCTGTGGCCTCTCTCTGGTACAGGGCCCTGAGCTCCTGCACCTGCCCCAGGGCCAGCTCCTCCTGCTGGCTCCTGCTCTCCGCCGCCTCCCTGACCTCCTGCAGCTGGTTCCTCAGGTCCTTCATGGTCTGCAGAACCGTGGAGCGCAGCTGCATGGTCCACACTTTCAGCTCTCGGGTCAGAGTACAGACCTGCTTCATCAGAACCGGGTCCACAGCGGGTTTAGGGCTGGCTTTGAGGGCGGGGATGGCGGGAGCTCTGTGGCTGCAACACATATGTAAAGTATGTTTATGTCGGTGGGTGCAAAATGGAAGGTGGGTTTCATGTTTTTATACTTTTATGCATGTTGTGCGTGTTTTTAATTTTTTACTTGCGCCACTTGAAGCACCCCGACTCCCCCCGTGACAACCAACAATTAGAAAACCTGTGCCTTGGGTACAAAAGGCAGAATGGGACACGGGGCCATCCACGGGAATGGAGAACGGACGGAGAAGGACTGAGCAGTAGTGGATTTCTAGCATGTATTTTTATTGCTTTTTATTCTTTTATTTGTATTTTATAATAAATAGTTTTTAACTTGCTTCTAATTCAGTGGTCCTTTGCATAAACGGGTCCAAAGAACCTGTTTCCGGATGTGACATATACTGTACAACACACACACATGCACACACACGTGCACACACTATGCATACAACAAACACTCTATGTACAGGCCATGCACATCATCTAGACAGATATGAATTAAAGTAGATATTCAGACAGAAGTCCTCCTGTTGTTGCTTTTTGGCATTAGCATCTGTAAATCACACTCAGCTCAAGCATTGCCCTCCATCGAGCTTCATATCACGAGGAAACTTCATTCAAGCAGCAGCTTTCATTCACGCAGCAACCCTCCTCCTCCCCATCTCCCCTTCGTTCTGGACCAGCTCTGTCCCCTTCTCTTGCTCCCCCCACCAGGGTCTGGGCCCTGGGGGACTTCCTCTTCACTTCCCCTTCTGCATCCTCCTGCAGTGCTCTGCCGGGGTCTCAGCGCCAAATCATTATCACATTTCTCATACAGTATTTAATAAATGTAATATGCAATTATTGTCTATATGCTATCTTACGTAGTGCTTTTTTTAAAATTTCTAACCAATATATAATTCTAATAAAGCCCTGTTTTGTCTGTTCAAGTCTCTCAAGTTTTAAATACAGGCCTACATCTTTATTTATAAACCACCTTTCACAGACCACAGTCACAAAGAGGTTTCAAATTGTTATTTTTTGGGCAGAACTATTTGACCTATAATACTATGATAATGTGATTTTCACATTGCAATGTATTTTCCCTGTGATACAGACGCTACAGAACATGTGACTACCTGAGCAGGGAGCGAATCCTCTGCTGCGCCCCCTGCTGGTCGGCCTCCAGCTCGGCCAGTCTGTGGTTCAGGTGCTGGATCACGTCTCCATGGTAACGGGCTTCTTTCTTCAGGTAACTGTTCCTCTGGATCAGAGCCTCCACCTCCTTCTCTTTGGTCTGAAGATCACGCCTCAGGGTCTCGATCACACGGTCCCTCTCCAGCAGAGCTCTGAAACAGGACCAGGTTTAAGTCTAGACTAGTTTGAGTCCTGGTCCGAGTCCTGGTCCTGGTCCTGGTCCGAGATTACCCAGAGTCTGATCAAGCCCACGGTATTATAATTTATTTTAAGAGATTAACCGTCAAAAGGGTTAGGAGCTCAGTTAGGAGCTCAGTCACACAGGAGGAGCTCGGAGTAGAGCCTATGCTCCTCCACGTGGAAAGGTGCCAGCTTGGACAGCTGTTTGGGATTGCTCCACCATGGCTCTCTGGAGGAGACCCAGGGGAACACCCCAGGATTCCCCCAGATGAGCTGGAGGAGGAGTGTGTGGAGAGAGCAGTCTATGTCTCAGACTGCTGCCTCTGCCACCCAGCAACGGATAAAGCGAAAGAACATGTATGGATGGACAATGAGCAGTTTCCCGGCCCAGAGACTACGTTGAAGCTGCTTACTATGTGTCATATGTCGTTCTGTTTGATGAAATAATAGCTACAGTTGCTACATGAAACACACAATGTAACACATGGTGTAAGACGTTTGCCCATTGACCCGAATGAGCTGAGGTCGGTGAAGTCTTTGGGAGCCGGCTGCAGCAGGATTTCTCCAAACAGAGTCAGATACACAGAGACCACCTCTTCTGAGTCGTAGTTACAGAGTCTGAGAGCAGCTGCGATCTCCTTCTGGTCCACCAGCCCCGGCAGAGCAGCCTGAACACACACACTTTGTTACTATTATCATTATTAGATTATTTTAAAATCACTGTCTCTCTGTAAAATGTCCCTCTGTGTGACTCACCATGACTTGTGTGTGTATGTGTGACTCACCATGACCTTCTGGACAAAGTCCAGGTTAAGTTCCCATTGCAGCGGCAGGAGGAGCCAGATTCCGGCCTGAGGGTCCCAGAAGCGGCAGACGTTCACCCGCTCCTGCCACAAAACAAGAGACTACAGTCAACTTGTGGGTCTCCCCGAGGTTTTTCACTTTTTCCCACTGGGTTTTTGTGAGTTTTTCCTTGCCGATGTAGGAGGGTCTTGTTGGACAGTTAGTGTCCAACTATAAGGACTGTGATGATCAGGACACTTTAGCATTCTACAACATGTATGGACATTTTCTTCTGTGTGTGCTTTATATTCTTCATGTGTTTTAACTGTTGATTCTCTGACCTGTGTTGGTGATTTCAATGGTTTTGTTAAGTCTCTGAGATGACTTCTGTTGTGACCTCGGGCTATACAAGAATAAATTGTATTGTATTGTAATAGAACCACAGTCAAACCTTGAGAACCTCCTCACCAGTGTTCAAACACCAGAGCCACTGGTCCATAAGGGACAGATGACCGCTGTCCAGGATTGTTTATGGATTTATGTCCTGGATTATTACTGTAGACCCAGGACTGAGGCTGTAGATCAAGGTCTGAAGCTGTAGATCCAGGTCTGAGGCTGTAGATCCAGGACTGAGGCTGTAGATCCAGAACTGAGGCTGTAGACCCAGGACTGAGGCTGTAGACCCAGGTCTGAGGCTGTAGACCCAGGACTGAGGCTGTAGACCCAGGTCTGAGGCTGTAGACCCAGGACTGAGGCTGTAGACCCAGGTCTGAGGCTGTAGATCCAGGACTGAAGCCCCATGTTTGTCAGTGATGAGAGAACCCTATTTTCATGACCTCTGACCTCGAACCAGTAGGTGGTGACGGTGCCTCTGCCCTGCAAGTGAGTGCTGCTGCTGCGGTCGTCATCTCTGAGATCTGAGCTGCTGCGCTGCTGCAGGAAGCCCTGAGGAGGAGGAGGAGGAGGCAGCAACATCACAACATGTTGTATATGTATATAAATGTGTTTTTACATGTGTTTATATGAGACAGACCTCGGAGCCGGGGGATATGAAGTGTCCCTGACTGTGCCACTCCTGAGGAAACGACTGCAGCTTCTGAAACATTAAAAACACAAGAATGTAGTTTATTATTAGAAAGCTTTGTTTGAGTCTCTGTGAAAATATACTATATAAATAATTATGACTTACTGACTATGTACTACGAGACACAAGGATTTAGCCTTGGTTTGAAATGAAGCAGATACGTTTTTATTGACATCAAATCCAAAAATTGAATCTTGTTTTTCCTGAACATTCTAGAGCAGTGCACTCTCAAACAGGTCAGTTTCAGAGTTGGTCATGTGACTGACTGATCTTTTGGTCTAAACCAATGCTCCATGTTGGTTGTAGCACCACCCGGTATCACCTGGAGTTCCCAGAGGTCTCCCATCACACCATTCACCAGGCCTTGTCCTGCTGAGCATAGGTGAATAGAGCACAGGTACAGGTGCAGCGCCAACCGATTTGTTTAACCAATGTAAAGTTTACTTTTCTTTTCAGAAGATTAAATAATTATAATAAAATGCCGGTATAGAGAGCTTGGTTTGAATGAGAGCAGTCAAAAAGACGGCTTTGGAAGTTCTTATGTTCTAATATCTCCACTTCCTGTCACATATGTTGAGATAACTCATAATAATCAGTCGTTAACCTGAGTCTCGTCCACGTAGACCCTGTTGCCGTGGTGATTGAAGCAGCTGTAAAGCATCCCGTTGTTGTGGAGGAAACTCTCAAAAACCAACGACAGCTCTTCATTCTCAATGTCCTGCTGCTGGGCACAAAGGCAGAGAGCAACACCAGCAACTCAGAAAAAGTCTCTCTTGTCTTTCTCTCTTTGGTCTCTCTCTTTCTGGTCTCTCGCTCTCTCTGGTCTCTTTCTTTCTGGTCTCTCACTCTCTGGTTTCTCTCGCTGGTCTCTCTCTCTCGCCCTCTCTCTCTGGCCCTCTCTCTCTGGTCTCTCTCTCTCTGGTCTCTCTCTCTGGCCCTCTCTCTCTGGTCTCTCTCTCTCTGGTCTCTCTCTCTGGCCCTCTCTCTCTGGTCTCTCTCGCTCTGGTCTCTCTCTCTCTGGTCCTCGCTCTGGTCTCTCTGGTCTCTCTGGTCCTCTCTCTGGTCTGTCTGGTCCTCTCTCTCTCTCTCTGGTCCTCTCTCTGGTCTCTCTGGTCCTCTTTCTCTCTCTCTCTCTGGTCTCTCTGGTCTCTCTGGTCCTCTCTATCTGGTAACTCTGGTCCTCTCTCTGGTCTCACTGGTCCTCTCTCTGGTCTCTCTGGTCTCTCTGGTCCTCTCTCTGGTCCTCTCTCTGGTCTCTTTGGTCCTCTCTCTCTCTGGTCTCTCTTGTCCTCTCTCTCTCTCTGGTCTCTTTGGTCCTCTCTCTCTCTGGTCTCTCTTGTCCTCTCTCTCTCTCTGGTCTCTCTGGTCCTCTCTCTAGTCTCTCTGGTCTCTCTGGTCCTCTCTCTGGTCTCTCTGGTCCTCTCTCTCTCTCTGGTCTCTCTGGTCCTCTCTCTGGTCTGGACTGTGTGTCTTACTGCAGCAGCCTGAGGACCCTCTGAGGTCTTCTCTTCGGTCTCCAGGTCTTCACAATCATCGCTGGTTTTTAAGTTTGTTTCTTGGCTCTTCAGAGACTGGACGTCCAACACATGACAGTCTGGAGACTCAGCCTGGATCAAGGCAAGGCAAGTTTATTGGTATTGCACAATTCATACACACAAGGCAACTCAAAGTGCTGAACAAAATAAAAATAAAAATAATAAATAATAATAAGAAACATACAAATATAAAATCCCTCAGTTGTATGCAGAGCGAAACAGAACAGTTTTTAACCTGGTTTTAAACATTGTCAGAGAGAACACACACATAACAGACGTAGGACTCGTGAGCAAAAGTCGACAGAATCAAACGGAATAAATGTAATAGGTTTGTATATTTTCCATCCATTTCTTCCGAGGCGTCAAACTCATTTTGCTCAGGGGCCAAATTTAAAAACAGACACATTTCCTACGGGACATAATACATTAATCTTGAATCTTGAGTATAAAAGTGGTATAAAAGTTTTTTGGTTTCACAATTTATATTTTTATTTTTTACAAATTAACTATGATTTGCATTAGCGTTCGGACATTATTTACTAGTTTGGATTCACCGGCCAAATATCGATAAGAGATGTATTGGATCATTTAAAATAATAATAATTAAGTAACTATAACTTCTAATTACATTTTAGTAAACATTTTAGAACAGATATGTTTCTGACGGAGGCCCTATAACAGCATTGAGGCTTTAAAATGAAGTATAACATGCCATAGTAGCCCATTGCCAACAATGCTGCAAGTTTCTGCAATAAAGATAATTGAAAATATCTTTATGAGCCACTAAAAATGGTCTCGCGGGCCGGATTCGGTTTACGGGCCTGAGTTTGACATGTCTGGTTTACAGCTACAGAGAGAGACAGTATTAATTCTTTCATAGAATCAAACATTTGGAACGCACAAAAGAGAAAGACACATTTACCTTCACCGTGTCGTCGCTGTGGGCCGCGGGGCTGGAACTGCGGGGTCCAGGCCTGGTGCTCTGGGGGGTCTGAGGGTTCCTCTGCTCCTCCGCTGTCTCCCCCTTCACCTCCTCAACTCTCGCCTCATCCTGCCTCTTCACCTCTTCCATCCCCTCCTCTTCCTCCTCTTCCTCCTTCACCTCCTTCACCTCCTTCATCCTCTCTGGTGTTTGCCGCTTCCTCTCCTCCTCTCGGGCCTCGCTTGTTTCCACACGGCTCTCGTCCTGCTTCGCGTCTCCTCGGTTCTCCCGGACGCCCCCCCTCTCCTGGTCAGTATTCACAGACGCACCACTGCCCATCTCCTCTGTCTCTCTGGTCCTCTGTCTCTGGTTCTCTATCTCTCTGGTCCTCTGTCTCTGGTCCTCTGTCTCTCTGTCTCTCTGGTCCTCTGTCTCTGGTTCTCTATCTCTCTGGTCCTCTGTCTCTGGTCCTCTGTCTCTCTGTGTCTCTGGTCCTCTGTGTCTCTGTCTCTCTGGTCCTCTGTCTCTGGTCCTCTGTCTCTCTGGTCCTCTGTCTCTCTGGTCCTCTGTCTCTAGTCCTCTGTCTCTCTGGTCCTCTGTCTCTGGTCCTCTGTCTCTCTGGTCCTCTGTCTCTCTGGTCCTCTGTCTCTAGTCCTCTGTCTCTGGTCCTCTGTCTCTGGTCTTCTGTCTCTGGTCCTCTGTCTCTGGTCCTCTGTCTCTGGTCCTCTGTCTCTCTGGTCCTCTGTCTCTCTGGTCCTCTGTCTCTAGTCCTCTGTCTCTGGTCCTCTGTCTCTGGTCTTCTGTCTCTGGTCCTCTGTCTCTCTGGTCCTCTGTCTCTCTGGTCCTCTGCCTCTGGTCTTCTGTCTCTGGTCCTCTGTCTCTCTGGTCTTCTGTCTCTGGTCCTCTGTCTCTGGTCCTCTGTCTCTGGTCTTCTGTCTCTGGTCCTCTGTCTCTCTGGTCTTCTGTCTCTGGTCCTCTGTCTCTGGTCCTCTGTCTCTGGTCTTCTGTCTCTGGTCCTCTGTCTCTCTGGTCCTCTGTCTCTGGTCTTCTGTCTCTGGTCCTCTGTCTCTCTGGTCCTCTGTCTCTGGTCCTCTGTCTCTGTGACACCTGAGAGCTGTGTGTGTGTGTGTAACCTGATGTGTCATGTGACATCACACCTCTAACATTTCCTCATTAGACACATCTCCACAGCAGCTGCACCAGACAATCATCTGTTCCACACCTTCAGAGCCTCATAAAGTACTCCTGCAGTACTAGTACAGGTCACACAGTGTTCCACAGAATCTGATACATTTCTAACACAAGTCTCTGTATTAATAGAAAATATATTTCATCTTAACCTCAAACGAAGCAGGCTGTAAGAACAAGACTCAACTGATTTCAAGGGAATTAAGCAGTATCACAACATGTTGTACTGTAAAATCAGTGTAATGAAAGTAAATCTGCAGTTTAGTCAAAGATATTCACAATTTTACTCGTGTAACTTTAGTATTTCTACTATAAATCAATAGTTTTTGCTTCAGAATTTGGGACGTTTTCATTTTCTGCACTTCTCCTTCCATCCTTCAGGGGGCGACATTGCACAGGTCTCTCATAGGCTTAATGCACATGAACATCTGTGTTTATTATATTTTAAGAAACCAAAAACATTAATTCCTGTAATGTACTGTATTAGTATTAGTATTATCTGGATACACAGGTCTATTACTTGATATTTATTGAGTAAATAAATAAATAAATAGATAAGTAGGATACACAGAATTGAATGTTTTTAAGTAACAACATTTCCCCAAAAATGTGTTTGAAACTAATACTGCCAAAGAGTCAATTTCAAATAATAAATAATAGCAAATATGTTTATTGATGTCCTTGTAACTGGATGATCACGGCTCTGGCCACAGACCAAAATGACTGACCCATCTGAGTCACTATTTGACTCGAAGGTGACTTGAAGGTGGATCTCTCTTTTTCACTTTTGTGTCTAAAAATGCTAATCTAAATATGTGACAGAGGCCAAACAAACAAGAAAGTGAGAGACCAGAGAGACCAGAGAGAGACCAGAGAGAGACCAGAGAGAGACCAGCGAGAGACCAGAGAGAGGCCAGAGAGAGACCAGAGAGAGACCAGAGAGAGGCCAGAGAGAGACCAGAGAGAGACCAGAGAGAGACCAGAGAGAGACCAGAGAGAGACCAGAGAGAGACCAGAGAGAGACCAGAGAGAGATCAGAGAGAGACCAGAGAGAGACCAGAGAGAGACCAGAGAGAGACCAGAGAGAGACCAGAGAGAGACCAGAGAGAGATCAGAGAGAGACCAGAGAGTTTCAGCTGAAGAAGTCCTTTGAAATGGCCTCCACAAAGTTGGGGGCAGACATGAGGATCCCGATGGTGCAGAGGATGGTGAACAGGGAGAAAGCCACTAAACACAATCTGTCAATCACAGCTGCTGCAAACTTCCACTCGCTCCCCAACACCTCCTCCTCGTCCTGGCTGCGGAACCGTCTGGAGATGTACCTCACCTCCTCTAGGATCTGGAGGAGCTCGGCCTCCACCCGGGAACCTCCTCTCAGCACCTCCTCCTCGGGGGTCACCATCCGGGAGCACAGCAACTCTGGGTCTGGACCAGAGCTGAAGCCAACGTAGAGCAGGTTTCCTCCATTGGGAATCTGAGAGAGAGAGAGAGAGGGAGAGAGAAAGAGGGAGAGAGAAAGAGGGAGAGAGAAAGAGGGAGAGAGAGAGAGAGAGGGAGAGCAAGAGAGAGAGGAGAAAGGAGAGAGCAAGAGAGAGGGATCGAGATGAGAGATGAGCAAGGGAGAGAGAAAGCGAGAGAAGAGAAGGATGAGAGAGAGAGGGAGATAGAGAAAGAGGAGAAAGGAGAGTGAGAGAGAGATAGAGAGAAAGAGAGAGAGGAGAAAGATGAGAGAGAGGGAGATAGAGAAAGAGGAGAAATAGATCAGAGAGGAGAAAGGAGAGAGCGAGAGAGAGAGAGCGAGAGAGAGAGAGCGAGAGAGAGAGCGAGAGAGAGAGAGAGAGAGAGTACCCTTGTTAACACCATCGACTGTACTCTACTCTCCCCTGATTGGGAGTGTTTTCACTGGTCCTGTGTAACCAGTACCAGGTCCTTCTTTAGTCCCTCTTGGTCCTGGTTCTATCCAGACCGAGCTGGTACTAAAGTGTTCTAACTGACAGTGAGTGGCCAGAGTTCTGCTGGAAACATATGAGGAACAATTTGAGGTGATACATTCTTGAAACAAGTGTTTATTTATTCTGACTATTAAAACAAGATTCTCCAATGGGACAAAGCCATTTAGTTTTATGTCACAAACTGTTGTTTTATTTTCTCATTCCAAAGGCAATATTTCTTGCATATTTTTTAAAACAAGATCATTTTGTTTTGCCCCATTGCTAACACTTGTTTTAAGGCAGTCAGAATGTGTTCAAATTAAGATACATATTGCCAAATGGAGGCGATTTTTGACTTATTTTTCCATTTACAGGAGAGGAGACTGGCCTCAGACTGACCGCTGGGTGCCTCAGAGAGGCCTGGCTGACGCTGAGCTCCAGGCTGGACATGCTTCCTCTGGGGAGTTTGGAGTTGGGACATCCCAGTCGGACCCTGCTCTCCCCTGGTCTCCTCATCCTCAGGAACCAGGCGCACCAGTTCAGCAGCAGCACGCGGGTCTGGGACAAACACAGGAGTAATACGTCTGACATTAGCAGCAAAAGTATCTATAACATGAAGCTGTGCAAAACCAGGAGCATCTGAGATCCATCCACTGTGTGCACTGGTGTTGGTGTGGTCTGACTTCATGAGCATTTACCATAAGATAAGATTCAGTTCAATTTATTCTTGTATAGCCCTACAGTAAGAAGTACATCACAAGCCATTGGTCCTTTGGGGGCAGATGTCAATAAATGTCAAGCGCCTGAATCTTCACCAGTGTCCTCAGACCCTCCTGCATCAGAAAGGAACAACTTTAATAACCCAGTGGGAGAGAAGTGAGAAACCTTGATGAGGCCCACATTGAGGGAGGGATCTGACTCCCACAAACGGACAAGCTGTAGACCCAGGTCTCAGGCTGTAGATCCAGGACTGAGGCTGTAGATCCAGGACTGAGGCTGTAGATCCAGGACTGAGGCTGTAGATCTAGGACTGAGGCTGTAGATCTAGGACTGAGGCTGTAGACCCAGGTCTCAGGCTGTAGATCCAGGACTGAGGCTGTAGATCCAGGACTGAGGCTGTAGATCTAGGACTGAGGCTGTAGATCCAGGACTGAGGCTGTAGATCCAGGACTGAGGCTGTAGATCTAGGACTGAGGCTGTAGATCCAGGACTGAGGCTGTAGATCTAGGACTGAGGCTGTAGATCCAGGACTGAGGCTGTAGATCCAGGTCTCAAGCTGTAGATGCAGGTCTCAGGCTGTAGATCCAGGTCTCAGGCTGTAGAACGAGGACAGAGGCCACTTGATACAGGACTGTGATGGCTCTCAGGTGAGGAGGGGGTGCAGACCAAGAGTCGGGGCCGCAGGGAGACAGTCCCCAGAAAAGATACTTTTTATTGAAGAAATGTGTCACATTATTTACACCGACAAAACCAGACTCTAAGACCAGAACTATCACAGACCTCTAGGACCAGTACAAGAGCACCATCAGAGTCCTCGAGGACCCGTCCTGCTCCACCCGGAGGCTGCTCCACCTGTGCTGCTGTGACCCGTCCTGCTCCACCCAGAGGCTGCTGCTGTGACCTGAAGGGCTGTTACTGATTATTACTATTGCTAGCTTTTCAGAATGACTAATTTTATTGTTTATTTTTGCTGCTACTGGACACCTGCATTTCTCCTACAGGGATAAAGTATCTATCTCTCTATCTATATAAAGTAGTTGCTAGTTGATACCAGGACAATAAAACCTCAGAGCACCTCACAATCATTCCACACTTGCACTTACCCTAAGCCTAAAGTATTTATTGCACTTCCTTCTCCTGAGATGCTGTTATTGTGCAGTATTATTACTGTATTATTGCACTTCCCAGGACCATGAAAGTATCAAACTATCTTAACCCAGCCAGGTCCAAACTAAGGCCATCCATTCAATCTGGAGAGACCACAAGATGAGATAAGATGAGTTTAAAATATATATTGTTTGTGAGTTTTGTTTGTAGTTCATTAGTTTGGCCTTGCTCTGTGAGGAACTGTGCTTGAGTGCAGATCATGATCCCCCGGGGCCTAGACACTGGTGGTGGCAACAGGGATAAGGTGGATATGAGTGTGGGAAGAAATCCTGAGGCAGAGGTGGTTGTGGCTTGAAAGACTGTTTGGTGTGCGATGTTCAACCTTTAAGCGCTGGCTGGATTAGCGGCTGCAGGGAGTTGAGCTGATGTGAGGCTGAGGACGGTGTGGGCTTGGTTCAATGACATAGGCAGTCTACCAATTTGAAATTCTGCTTAAGCTTCAATTAAACAGTGTCATCTTCACTTGTCATCTTCACCCCAACCAGTATAGATGCAATTTAAAGCTCGGAACAGCACAAATCCAGTCAATCGTGGTTCAGGCCCCTTGGACAATTTTTTTGAACTAAAAAGTTTGGATACCCCTGTCCTAACCTAACCTAGGACCTTATTGCTGAGAAGTTAAATGTTAACCACTCAGCCACCATGATATATTACCCTGATCCTGTCTCGTGTAATATATTCGAAGCGCTGCCTTTCTCCAAGATTTTTAATAAAATCTCTTTTTTTAATCCTTCCCTGAGCGATATAAAAGTTTGCAGAAGCTGTTATTGTTGTTGTCTGTAGTGACAGCTGTGATGTCACCTCCCAGCAGCAGCTGTGGCTCAGACCAGTGAGTTTGTGTTGATGCTGGAGGCTTTCGACTGCTGCCAAAATAATACAAACAAATCAGAATAATAATAATGATAAAGTGAACCAGGAAACTACTGCTTCACTGAAGACAAGAGATCATTAAACATTCAGCTCCAAATGATGAGAGACAGAGACAGAGGCAGAGACAGAGGCAGAGGCAGAGACAGAGGCAGAGACAGAGACAGAGACAGAGACAGAGGCAGACACAGGCAGAGACAGAGACAGAGGCAGAGACTGAGGCAGAGGCAGACACAGGCAGAGACAGAGGCAGAGACAGAGACAGAGGCAGAGACAGAGACACAGGCAGAGACAGAGGCAGAGGCAGAGACAGAGACAGAGACAGAGACAGAGACAAAGACAGAGACAGAGACAAAGACAGAGACAAAGACAGAGACAAAGACAGAGGCAGAGGCAGAGGCAGAGACAGAGACAGAGACAGAGGCAGAGACAGAGGCAGAGACAGAGACAGAGGCAGAGGCAGAGACAGAGACAGAGACAGAGACAGAGGCAGAGACAGAGGCAGAGACAGAGACAGAGACAGAGGCAGAGGCAGAGACAGAGACAGAGGCAGAGACAGAGACAGAGACACAGGCAGAGACAGAGGCAGAGGCAGAGACAGAGACAGAGACAGAGACAGAGACAAAGACAGAGACAGAGACAAAGACAGAGACAAAGACAGAGGCAGAGACAGAGGCAGAGGCAGAGACAAAGACAGAGACAAAGACAGAGGCAGAGACAGAGGCAGAGGCAGAGACAGAGACAGAGACAGAGGCAGAGACAGAGACAGAGACAGAGGCAGAGGCAGAGACAGAGACAGAGGCAGAGGCAGAGACAGAGGCAGAGACAGAGACAGAGACAGAGACAGAGACAGAGACAAAGACAGAGACAAAGACAAAGACAGAGGCAGAGACAGAGGCAGAGGCAGAGACAGAGACAGAGACAGAGGCAGAGACAGAGGCAGAGGCAGAGACAGAGGCAGAGGCAGAGGCAGAGACAGAGACAGAGGCAGAGACAGAGGCAGACACAGAGGCAGAGACAGAGACAGAGACAGAGGCAGAGACAGAGACACAGGCAGAGACAGAGACAGAGACAGAGGCAGAGGCAGAGACAGAGACAGAGACAGAGGCAGAGGCAGAGGCAGAGGCAGAGGCAGAGGCAGAGACAGAGGCAGAGACAGAGGCAGAGACAGAGGCAGAGACAGAGACACAGGCAGAGACAGAGACAGAGGCAGAGACAGAGGCAGAGGCAGAGACAGAGACAGAGGCAGAGACAGAGGCAGAGGCAGAGACAGAGGCAGAGACAGAGGCAGAGACAGAGGCAGAGACAAAGACAGAGACAGAGACAGAGGCAGAGACAGAGACAGAGACAGAGACAGAGGCAGAGACAGAGACAGAGGCAGAGGCAGAGACAGAGGCAGAGACAGAGGCAGTGACAGAGGCAGAGACAGAGGCAGACACAGAGGCAGAGGCAGAGACAGAGGCAGAGACAGAGGCAGAGACAAAGACAGAGGCAGAGACAGAGACAGAGGCAGAGACAGAGGCAGAGGCAGAGACAGAGGCAGAGACAAAGACAGAGACAGAGACAGAGGCAGAGACAGAGACAGAGGCAGAGACAGAGGCAGAGACAGAGACAGAGGCAGAGGCAGAGACAGAGGCAGAGACAAAGGCAGTGACAGAGACAGAGACAGAGGCAGAGACAGAGGCAGAGACAGAGACAGAGGCAGAGACAGAGACAAAGACAGAGGCAGAGACAGAGGCAGAGGCAGAGGCAGAGACAGAGACAGAGGCAGAGACAGAGGCAGAGACAGAGACAGAGACAGAGGCAGAGGCAGAGACAGAGGCAGAGGCAGAGACAAAGACAGAGGCAGAGGAAGAGACAGAGACAGAGGCAGAGACAGAGGCAGAGACAGAGACAGAGACAGAGACAAAGACAGAGGCAGAGACAGAGGCAGAGGCAGAGACAGAGACACAGGCAGAGACAGAGACAGAGACAGAGACAGAGGCAGAGACAGAGACAGAGGCAGAGACAGAGACAGAGACAAAGACAGAGGCAGAGACAGAGACAGAGACAGAGGCAGAGACAGAGGCAGAGACAGAGGCAGAGACAGAGACAGAGGCAGAGACAAAGACAGAGACAGAGGCAGAGGCAGAGACAGAGACAGAGACAGAGACAGAGACAGAGGCAGAGGCAGAGACAGACAGAGACAGAGACAGAGGCAGAGACAGAGACAGAGACAGAGGCAGAGACAGAGGCAGAGGCAGAGACAGAGACAGAGACAGAGGCAGACACAGAGGCAGAGACAGAGACAGAGACAGAGGCAGAGGCAGAGACAGAGACACAGGCAGAGACAGAGACAGAGACAGGGGCAGAGACAGAGGCAGAGACAGAGGCAGAGGCAGAGACAGAGGCAGAGACAGAGACAAAGACAGAGGCAGAGACAGAGGCAGAGACAGAGACAGAGGCAGAGACAGAGGCAGAGACAGAGACAGAGGCAGAGGCAGAGCAGAGACAGAGGCAGAGACAGAGACAAAGACAGAGGCAGAGACAGAGGCAGAGACAGAGACAGAGGCAGAGGCAGAGCAGAGGCAGAGGCAGAGGCAGAGACAGAGGCAGAGGCAGAGGCAGAGACAGAGACAGAGACAGAGGCAGAGACAGAGACAGAGACAGAGACAGAGACAGAGACAGAGGCAGAGACAGAGACAGAGACAGAGACAGAGGCAGAGACAAAGACAGAGACAGAGGCAGAGACAAAGACAGAGACAGAGGCAGAGGCAGAGACAGAGACAGAGACAGAGACAGAGGCAGAGGCAGAGACAGACAGA